GCAATGCACTGCAACACATTAAAATAAAGTTGGCGAATCATTGCTTTCCATTGAACTTATAAAGACAACATTTGCAGTCGAATCGACTTTAAGTTACTTCATTGATCTGTTTTTGTTCACAAAACCTCATCAAAATCGATAAAAAGAATATGTTTAAAAATGTTTCTTCTTAAAATTTGTATTTATAGGACAAACAACATCGAGCTACCTTTAAAAATGATTCAAAATATTTATGATCATTATGAAATGTTTGACTTTGTAGATTTTTATTTTTGTAACCTATTTTTCAGAGATCGAAGCCGATTTTTTCGGCTTAACTCAATTTTTGATTTTTTTGATAGAAAAAAGCCATTTGACACCCATTTCAAGTATTTAAATTGAACTTTACATGCTTTACTATGATTCTGTGTAATATTTTGTCAGCATGTAGCTATAGTAAGCTCAGAATTTCAAGTTAAAGAATGTTAAGCCGAAATTTAAGCCGATCGGCTTAGAATCGGCTAAATTGAAATTCAGAGCTCACTATAGCTACATGCTGACAAAATATTACACAGAATTATAGGAAAGCATGTAAAGTTCAATTTAAATACTTGAAATGGGTGTCAAATGGCTTTTTTCTATCAAAAAAATCAAAAATTGAGTTAAGCCGAAAAAATCGGCTTCGATCTCTGCTATTTTTGAATCATATTCTACCGAATTTGTAACCAAAATGATTCAAAAGTTTCTATAAATATGCATACTAATGTTATTCAGCATCCAAAGTAGCGTTGTTGCCAAATTTCAAAGATTGAATAAAACCAATTTTATTCAACAACATGTTATTACTGAGGAATCTGGTTCCTTGCGTCATTATTTAAAATCATAACCAAATTATGATTAACTCAACCTGAATAAACTATCGTAAATGTAAAGGTTAATTGAGACTTCTCAGTTCATATCACATGACGCATATGAATTCAGTTCCTTTAACAATGTTATATTCTGGAAACTACTGAAAAAAATAAAAAATTTACCTCAAATTAAATTCTTCGTCGAGTTTTTCATTCTGTCACACCAACCCGAGAACAGAGAGAATCATTCTACTTGCAAATTGATGCTAATTTATCTTACTCCTCAATATATGCTCACTCTTTTTTAGATGCTTCGCGTGATATGAATAACGATATAGACATACATTGAAATACAATTATTATTGTTATGTGAATGAGTGAACTGAATTGGCAGTAGAAAATAAATAAAATGTACGTTGTGAGATGAAAAATAATTATTTTTGTATGTTGAAAATTAACAGCACATATAGTGAAAAATTATTTAATAGAAAATCGATACGTTTTCATTCTGTGAGCTGCTCTTGGAAGTCATGTCAAAATTGATTATGGATTTTTTTGGGGAAACTAGCAGAAATTGGAGTTTTTTTTGAAAGCTCTTGAATTAATAGAAATTGAAGGTAAGCTGAGTGATCAGCATAATTTTAGATGTTATTCGCTAAGCATCTATGTGTGTGAATAAAGCTTGAATTTAATTAATCAGTCCAAAAAGTATTAATTTTATTTAAGTTCCTTAAGACAATTGAGTGAGTATTTGATGGAAAGTAAAGATTCAAGTATCCAAGCTGGTGCATAGCCGGTTCATAGCTTTATAATCGGGTATCCGATTGCTATTATAGGGCCTAGCCCAACCCTCTTCTATATTAAACTTTAAAATAATTGACTTCCAACTATTTTAATCTGTTTTCATATAAACTGCATATTTCCCGCCAAAATTAGTACACGATTGTGCATTGCGACCTTTAAAATAATAAATAAGAAATTAACCCAGAAAAAAAAATCATCCTACGCCCAAAATGTAAGAAATACTATAAGAACTGTAAGAAATTTAAAATATGCTGAAGTTCACTGAACCGGAATAACCAGAACGGTAGATGGACATTATGTGTTAAAATGTCACTTTTTTCAGCAATCGAAGGTAGACGGTACATAAACTCTGATAGACATATAAAGACTGCACGGAAGTCGCTTAAACGTTCCCCGCTACCTATTACTCATTTCACATTTGACAAGTGTGTAATTTAATTCATTAAATAAATTCAATTACTAAACGCTTCGTATCTCCAATTTCTGTAAATCACAGAACCGGCGAACAAGTTGAAAATAATCATTATCAAATTAATTTGTGAAAAAAAGTTTTGTTGGAGTTTCGAGAACTTAATTATAGTAATAGTAACAACTTAAATATTTAATTTCATTGCTTATATTTATTTTGACGATCAAGTTCACAAATAACGAGGGTGCTTATTCTGGATATTTTTTTAACAGCGTGTTGTGTTTCGTGTAAGTTGATGAAAGCTTATTAGAATTTAATGGTGTCTAATATTTTCCCAACCCAAATTAAAATTTTATTGGATAAGTTGTTTGAAAGTTTGACGAAATTAATTTTTTTATTTTTAACTTTGGAGCATTTAAGCTTTTTGCTTTGATTTTTAAGAATTATTAGAAGCGTTTTTTAAAAGACATGCAAATCTTACCCTACTGTATTACCTTTAAAACTTCTAGCACTTAGTATGTTTGAAGTACAACTTTTCTAAGCATTTATCAAAAACTTAATGAAAATATATTGTCTTCAGGATCTTATTTTGTGATATTGCCAGTCACAAAGAAAGCCGCAAAGTAAATTTTAATCAAAACAATATTGAATATTTTAACAAGTGAACAAATTTAGTTTTTGTCTGTTTTTGTTTTTGTACAAATAAAAAACAATTTATTGTCATCAGAAAATATGCTGACTTTGAAAGAATCTGAGGTTTTGTATCGATTAAAAAATTAATTTTTTTCATTTAACGTAAATAAATGATAAGAATCTAAATTATTGTAAGGATTTGAACCTTTAAAGCACAAGATTTTTCCATTTAAAATTAATTCGACATTTACAATCACACAAACTCAGTCTTATTTAAATTTGTAATTTAAAATTTTATCGCTTTTTAAAGCGTAGGTAAAACAAATTTATTATTAAATTTTAAACACATGTACCCAACAAATTACCGTAATTTTCCAAGGCAATAATTTTCATTTTATATTTTTCAATAAGCGCTAACAGCAACAGAGCACTAATAAAGGGAAATAATTTTATTTCGCCTTCACTCTCGATTATATTTTATCACCAATATCATCATTTAAGGATAAGATCATACATATGTGTTAAGGAATAAATTAAAAGTTGTAGCGCCGACATGTGACTTGAGGTCTATAAATAAATGACTCTTCCTCATTGTCTCTTTTGAATGCATAAATTTAGAAAAATACATAATACTTTGCAAAGAGCATACAGCACACAGAGAAAAGAATTTTCCTTGCACCGAGAGATGGGAGAAAAAAATTTTCATTTTTTTCTGGGTTTGGTCGATTTTCTGTTTTTCCAATTTTTCCTTTTCGCCTTTTATCATCAAAACAGAAGCATTATTTACGAGTGTTGATAGGCAAATGTTGTGTAGAACATGAGTTTGAATCACATACATGCAATTTATTCAATGATTTTATCTCATTTCCATTTTCATATCACTTACTTTGTTATGTTAAAAATTCTCATATTCTTTGTGGATTTTAAGACACTTGACATATTATTCCTTCTCTATGATCTTATTATTTTTTTGTCACTACATCTTTAACTTTCACTAATGCCTTCTCAATCTTCTCTGCCTTTTCTCTTTATTATTTTGATTTTTTTTTAATTTTTTTCTTTGCTTTATTTTATTATTTTTTACATTTCTTTTCTAAATGGCAAGAGAAATATTTATTTTTTTCATATTCGGTCACTTTCGCCTTTTATGCGTCTATTCACATCGAGTTGCAAAATCAAAATAAACCATTGGATGTATAGAGACACGACAACATAACTTCGATACATGAACAGTTATATAAACACGATTTGAGCGACGTCTGGTTGTGGATATCCAAATTAATTAATTTTATTGTGGATTTCATGATGATTTTTGTCTATACATGAAACTTTTGGTCTATACATGTATCTTATAGCACGTGGAACAACGGTTGTTAATTTTTATTTCATGCAATATTTTAATTAATTATTATCCAATTAATTTTGCATTTATTAATAAGCGAAGAAAATTCAAGCTTGCCTTATGCCAGCAAAGACGAAATATTTCAGAAAATTGACATGTCTGCTAATTGACTGCCGTGTGACACTTTTGTAATTTTCAAAGAGTTTTCTCAATTTTTACTTTTTAAAAGAGGATCAGAGACTTTATTGACGTGTAGTTTACGTATTGTATATGAAAATTGCGTAGTTATTTACCCAGTTGTGACACAAAAAAATATCTAAATTTGTATTACTGATTTTTACTGAGTATTACTTTTGTTACGTTCAAAATTAATACACTGCATGCAAAATGGTTTTGCCAATATTTTAAAATATCACTGAAAATTTAATGTCACTGTCAGCAAGATTTCTCAGTTTCATTAATGACTCTTGGTGAATTTTCAAGTGAAAAAAGTGACAGCTTCATTATCAGATTTACTTTCAAGTTCAAAGGAAAATGATGAATGGAATAATTAAGCAAATAAAATTTCGTAATTTTCTATAGGCATCAATAGGTTTCGTCAAGTATTGAAATAGCTTTCAACTTCTCATCTTCCTTGATGAACTGCGTCTAAGGCTATCTATGAGCCAAAACAATAGAATTGAAAAGTACGCAAAACCTCCAAGTATCCCTAGAAACTTGCTCTAGGTTATGCATTTTTGTTCAATCAAAAAAAAATTAAAATTTACGAAATATTAAAATACATGATGTGTGTTCAGTTAAATGCTAATATATATTCTTATTACATTCCAACTAAATAATTCCAATTAGAATCTTATAACCGCATATGTATTACTCAAAATTGTCTGTTTCGTAAACAAAAGAATCTAAAATGTGCCATAATTAGATTTAAATTTAAAAATTTTAATATTCCTGAAAAATATAAATCAAAATCACAATAAAAATGGACGTTATATCACTTAAAGAAGTCGATGAATATGAAGATATCCTAGAAAACAATTTAAATTCATCGAATGTCGAAAGATTCAACAAACGACTAGAATTGTATAGAATTCATTCGAATGATTGCAAAATAAGAGTGGATCAAACCACAGAGCACATACACGAGCAACAGCTTAATGAAATATCTCTGCTTCAAAATAAACCGAAGGAACAGAAGAAGAAAAGAACGAACAAAAAAGGATTAACGAAACAAATTGAACTTAATCCGGTAAATGACAAATTTTTTTGCAGTAAAAATGTTTTAATTTCAAACATTTGCGTAATTTCAGACTTTAATGAAAAATCAGCAACGGCTGTGTCAATCTTCGCAGCAGCAAACACCTACATTGAAAAATCCAATCCAATGTGGTGGTCAGAAAATCGATTATTTACATCAGAGCATCTACGAGCAGCAACAAAGTATTCAAATGCCTTGCGTGAGTGACATTTATATCAAGCAAGAGCAATGTTTCAGTCCTGAAATTGAATTTGAGGATCTTGACTTCAATGGAATGGCAAATTTAATGAATCATCCTGTCGGTCCGGAACTATTAAAATTTGATGAGAATATACAGCCACAACAACAAGTGTCATCATATTCTGTGCCTCAATATTCACAATTTGATCATCAAAGTAAATATAAAAGTGTTTACTTTAATCCCAACTATTTCCCATAACTGAAAGAAAAAAAAAGACTTTTTTATGACTTTAGACTAATATATATTTTATTTTTATTATGTATCACGTACTGTTTATAAATTTTAATATTATTTGTACAGGGGTGAGGTTTTCCGTCATAAAAATCTTTCACATAAACAATATTTTTTAGAAATCATCCTGACCTATCCCTACATCAAGTGTATTAAGGCAGTCCTATACATTTTTTATTTTGATTACTTGCAAACTTTTTTTTATTTTTGTATATGTACGTAGGATGTTATAATTTGTTTATGATATATTACATCATTTTTTTTTTAAATTGTTCGCAAACATTTTTGAAGCTGACCAGCAGCTGATTCAAAAATACTCTATTTTTGCGAAACTAAAGCCAAGAAAGTCTGTTAATTTAGTTTTAGAATGTTTAAACTACAAAAGGCATCATGGATTTATATATAAAGTTTTTTTGAGAGTCTGAGCATTGGTTGTGCCTTAAGAGTAATTTTCCTTCAAAACAAAACGTATTCTCAGTAAGATTTGAACTTTCGACTTCAAAATTAAGGTTATCTTGTATCTTGTTCATTTACTTAGCACATCTTTGAATACATTCGATCAGATTCTTCACGATCTTAATCCTCAAGTCTGTCTTCGCATATGCTTTTCAGTAATACCAAAAGTCTTGCTAAAAGATTTTACAAATTTTTACTACTTTTATGTTCGAATAAACCTGTCTGTAAATCATCTTCACACCTAGCTATTAATTCCTCCTAGCATCCTTTGTGAGACTATCAAAACTCAAAAGAAAGTGAAAATGAATCACCAACATGAACATTTTCATTGTTCCAAGGTGTCACCTGTCAAGTAATTTAATGCCAGACTTTTTAAAACTGCCAAATAATTCTTATTCTTTATTAGTCATCCCATTTTGACTTAAAGTAAGTATCCATTACCGGAAAAATCAATTACTAAGTCAGAAGAACTCAAATAAAAGATGATAGCTCCATTTACACTCATCTTGGCCTCAAATTTCACAATAATTATAGATTAATTGCGCAAATTGCAATTGAACTAGTTGTGGACTCACCCCCGGAACTCTTAGAATTTTATACATCAAAGTTTTTAGAGCGATATAATTTATGAACACATTTTTAACATTTAAATTATAATCCCAGGTAATAAAATCTCGACAGCAAATTAATTCTCGTATTTTTGTTACTTTTACTCGATTTCTTCTCACTATATGTAGGAGGTCCTTGCTTTAAATAATTGAATTTGTTTAAACAAAAACTTGCTCAGATCAATTGTATATGCTGAATTCAATCCCCGTCTTAGACGGCACCAAATGAAAACTATTCAAATCGAGGACCCCCCCCCCCCCCCCCCCCCCCAATGCATTTACCTTTTACTGCTAATCTAAAAAGTTAATGTACTTGAAAAGTATTGCCGGCAAATTAGTTTCACACAAATTATAATATGTCACATTGTAGTTTTTGTTGCCATAATTTGACGAATAAATGATGTCTCGTACCTTATTACGAGCTAAATGTTTGAGTGAAAATGCATTCTTCTGTGGACGTTGAAGATATTTGCAATTTTTGTGCTTGCCGTAATTGAGGATTAAAAACTCTATGGCATCTTTGACTTCCTGTGTGTCTAAACAAAAGTATCGAATCTTATTCCAATATCTATCATCGATGAAGAAATTGGTACAAAATGGCAAGATCGTCCTCATTACTTCGATATTCGTTGATAAATCACCGTGCTTAATAATATTCCCGCCAAACGTTAACGACCTCAGGAAATTCAGTAATTCTAGATCCACATCACATTCATTTTCTCTCAAGTATGTCAGATTCCTAATCAGTCTCCATTTAGCATTTTCATCACTTAATTTTGTCACAATTCCAAAGCCAATGTTGTTGTAAATCTCATTTAATTCCGGAACTATATTATTTATTTTAAGGAAGTCCATGATGACTGGAAAGTTTACGTCATTCGAGCTGAGCATTTGTTCAATAAACAATGAAAAGTCGGTGACTTCATAGTCATTTATAAACATTTTAAAATCATCATTAGCATCATTGGGGGCCTCTTTTGATCTTGAGTAAGGATCTACTTGCGGCGATGTTTTATGATGAGAGAAAAAAATGAAAATGATGAAAATAAATTAATTAATTAATAATTTTTCATTTTAATGGATGTTGTTCTTGTTACGCGCGGATATTTTTTCACATCATTGCAATTAAAATTTAATTTTTATTTTATTTTTATAATGTAATAAAATCGATGGACTCTGTCAGGAGTGTCTTGTTCATTTGTGATGCCTCATTTTTCATTTAGTGGGACTTTAATATTTTAATTTTATTTATTTTTTGGGCGAACACTTGTACATACAGTTGCTTATGACATGATCTGTTAAAGACAAAATTGGTTGACCTCCCATCTTATGATCTCGAAATTATCTTAAAAAATTGATGAAGGTGCCTATAATAGTACTAAATTAAAAGATCTAAGAGGTGTCTTGAGCTGCGTAAAATTTTATACATAACCAATTTAAAACCCAATTTTTCTAGTCACATCTTTTATGAACGAGACATCTAACAAATGTGCACCACTTATATGAAATATATCCCGCTAACAACGTATTTCCTGCATTTCTCGTCCAACGCATTATTTATTTCACCTACCTTTGACGGAAATTTGGCGTGAAAATGAAACAGCTGAGATTTCCATCGTCACAGATAAAAAGTCACGAAAACACACTGATTGTGATAAAAAATTGTGAAACAGATGGATAAGTTTCTCAGATATGTTTACAAAAACACGTCCTATGAGCAGCGATTTATGATGAAGAAGAGAGAATTCGTGTCACGAGTAGAAAATATCAACGAGATAATAAAGAAATTAAGAATTTCGCGTGTTATGAACAGCGACAATGAGTGCGAAAAGAAAAATTGCTTTTATCTTCTTTTTTATCACGGAAAGAAGGTGTCCTTTAGTGTGTCGATGATTTTATTTATTTACGACTGTCACGCATGCACAATATACAATTTTTAATTATTTTGTTGATAAGCTGTGATAATACAACACATAAAGTTTAATCGCTCTCAATTTGTCTTAAATGAATATTTTTTCACTTAAACTAGTTTTTTACTTAATTTTATATTTTTAAGACTTTTCTTGCTGAAGTCAAAAGTGAAACTGACGAGATGTCTGGCGATGAATGAATAAACTTAGGTACGTACGTACATATATTTTTGTTTTCATCACAAAGAGAAAAATGAAAATGATGAAAACCAATTTTCTTTTCTGTGGAAAAGTCGGAAAAATATTTTTTTTCTATTTGATGTTTGCTTTTTACATAGAATTGCAATACATCCATAAATCATCTCGCACACTCTATGTAGTAAAACTGATGCGGAAGAAAAAGTAATAAATATAGTGGAAATAAATCTCTAGACATGTAAATAAACCACGAAAAATTCTATAATTCATCGGGCTATTAATAAGTTGAAGGGAGAAGAGGGGGGGGGGTCAAATTTCTTAAGTTTAAAAAATAACGACTGTTCCTAATTCAAATTTTTCAAAAACATTAAACTGAATTTAAATCAAACAAACCGTTATATTATCTGACTATTAAAACAACTGTCAAGATGAAATTAAATCTTAGAGCATCTTTTAGAATAGATATTTACTGCCAAAGGATTACAATATTTGAAAACCAGCTTCAGTAATCTATTTATCTAAACTTGTTAAAAAAATAACGGTAAAAATTGTTTCAAATTCAAAATTTTTCACAAAAAAAATGAGCTCAGGGGAACAACAACTCTTAGTAAAACGCGCTTAAAAAATTATTCTCACAAAAAATATAGTTTTTATTTAATCATACTAATTAAATCGCTATTAATCACGTTTAAAACTATTGAAATCACTAGTTAACCACTCAATACATAAGAAAAAAGTGGAATAATTATAAGCTTATTTGGATTATAGGCTGAAAATTGAAAAATAAAAAATGCAGCAATAACCAAACAAAACATAAACAAACCGCAAAAATACAGAAAAATCACACAAAACGTTAATTAAACAATTTTAAGATGATGTCTGCAGCCAATGTTGGTGCAAGTACAATCGTCAAAGTACTTGGCGATACATCAATTAAAGAGGATTTGAGATTAAAGGCAGCACAGGAGTTGGCTGAAACATTTGAGAGTAATGTTAATAGTACCGGCTATCCAGCTTTCCTCGAAATGACTATGAAAACGTTCCTGAAAGTGTTACAGGAAGGCGAATGTCACTTCTTTTCCGATTTTAATATTCAACAGGTGAGATTTGTTGACTTTACTCTTTACTGGATCTTGTATGAAAATTTTATCTTATTTTAGATGAGAAAGCTGATCCTGGAAATGATCCATCGACTGCCTGTCTCGGAAACAGTTAGACCTTACGTGAAGAGCATACTGACATTAATGTTAAAACTATTAAAAACTGACAATGAAGATAATGTGCTGGTTTGTCTAAGAATTATTATTGATCTTCACAAGCAGTACAGACCAACGTTCCAGCCCGAAATCCAGCACTTCATTGCCTATGTACGAAACATATATTCAGATTTGCCAAAGAATTTAAACAAGATTTTCGAACCTCGTGAACAAATCAGAGTTAAGGATCTAAAGGAAGTGAATTTAGAGACATTATTGTCTGAGATCTATTCATCCACAACAATTTATGTCGAGAAGCAGGAAGTAGAAGGAAAGGTTGGAGCAAATACATTTACACTTCTTCCAAAAGGCATAAATTCACTTAAAGTTCTGCAAGAATTGCCAATCATTCTAGTTCTTATGTATCAAATTTATAAGCAGCACGTCCATCAAGAAATAGTCGAGTTTGTTCCGCTCATAATGGCCACAATATCACTACAGCCATCGCCAGTTCATCGAGCAATGCCAAATTTTAATCGTGAGATTTTTGTGGACTTTATGAGTGCTCAGATCAAAGCACTTTCCTTCTTGGCTTATATCGTCCGAACATTTTTGTCGCAGTTTCAAGAAGTTATCAACAATCATTCAAATCAGATGGTCGAGGGAATGATTTCACTTCTACGATTGTGTCCAATGGAAGTTGCAAGTACAAGAAAGGAACTGCTGGTCGCAACGAGACATATTTTAGCAACAGATTTGAGAAATAAATTCATCAGTTCGATTGACTTGCTGTTTGATGAAGATTTATTGCTCGGTCGTGGATGTTATAGTAATGAATCATTAAAACCTTTGGCATACTCTACATTAGCAGATTTAATTCATCATGTACGTCAGCATCTAAAATTAGATATTCTCACAAAGGCTGTCTACTTATTTTCGAAAAATGTCCATGATGAATCATTGCCAACATCAATACAGACCATGTCATGTAAATTACTATTAAATCTTGTTGACTGCATAAGAATTCAAAGAAATGACGACTCATTTCCATCACCAACACCTCGAGAACTACTTATGACAATGCTTAAAGTATTTACACTTAAATTCCATACAATCGCAAAGCTTCAACTTCCTTTAATCATGCAAAAATGGAAGAATATAAGCAATCAAACAAATGCACCGACACCTGTTGATGTGAATAAAGAAATGGTTAATATAGACGTATCACCTGAAAGTTTGACTAAATTAACATCGATTGGATTCTCGCAGGCAAACACACTTAATGTCTGTGAATATAAAAGTTTAGTGAAAACCTTAATTTGCGGTGTCAAGACAATCACATTTGGAATCAACTTGACTGATAATGCACAGCAGAAAATGCCAGTTACATTCCAATCTGAGGAAGTTTTAATCTTTATTGATCTCTTTAAATGGGCATTAGAAGCTCTGGATATTTACATGATTAATATCCCAATTCCTGGAGCTGCACCGACAGTCCAACAAAAAAATCTCACACAGCTACCAAGATCTAAAGATGAAAAAGAATTGCTTGAACATTTTAGTGGCTTGTTCCTTACAATGTCACCACAGAACTTTCAGGAAATATTCTCGTCCACAATTGACTTTATGGTTGATCGAATTTCACAAAATATTGCTCTTCAAGTCATTGCTAATTCCTTTTTGGCATCACCAACTACATCTCCATTATTTGCTACAGTATTGATTGAATATCTGCTCGAAAGAATGGATGAAATGGGATCTAATATTGAAAGATCAAATCTTTATTTGAGACTGTTTAAATTGGTCTTTGGAAGTGTCTCACTATTTGCGAATCAGAATGAACAAATGTTGCGTCCACACCTGCATAATATCGTTAATAGATCAATGGAACTAGCTATGAGTGCTAAAGAGCCATACAATTACTTCCTCTTACTTAGAGCTTTATTCAGATCAATTGGCGGTGGAAGTCATGATAAACTTTATAAAGAATTCTTGCCTTTACTTCCAAATTTACTTGAAGGATTAAATAGATTACAAAGTGGATATCATAAGCAGCACATGAAGGATTTGTTCGTTGAATTATGTCTTACAGTTCCTGTTCGATTGTCTTCATTATTGCCATACCTGCCAATGCTTATGGATCCTTTAGTTTCAGCATTAAATGGATCTCCAACACTTGTTAATCAAGGATTAAGAACATTGGAATTATGTGTTGACAATCTACAGCCAGACTTTCTTTATGATCACATTCAGCCAGTAAGAGCGGAATTAATGCAAGCTTTATGGAAGACATTAAGGAATACAGACACAGCAGCACTTGTGGCATTTAGAGTTTTGGGTAAATTTGGAGGTGGAAATAGAAAAATGATGATTGAGCCTCAACGAATAGAATACAATAGTTGTAGCACTAAGGAAGTCAGTTCAACAGCAATTGTTGCGTATTTCCAAGAACAACGCAAGCCAATTGATTTTCCAGTTGATAAAGTCATTGAGACTGCATTTAATGCATTAAAAACGTCATCAACTGATCCTTATTATTGGGCACAAAGTTGGGAAGTCATTCGATGCTTCTTGGCTGCTTCAATTTGTTTAACGGACGAAAAGCATATCCTGCAGAAATTATTCACTCATCCTAGCTTTACGGAAGGAAATGTTCCTAATATTAACATCACATCATCTCATTTCCACGATAGTCATGCTCGAAAGACTCATCAAATCGCATTGACTGCAATGTTTGTTGCTGCTGCGACCAAGGAATTAAGGTATTGTTGCTTAGTATTTAAACTTTTATTGAAAAAGATTAAAAGTTCTTTTTAATTTATAGACAATCAGTTTTACCAGTATTTGTGGATGTGGTTCGTCACTACACTATGGTTGCTATTGCTCAACAAGGTTTGTGCCTTTACACTGTCCTTATCTTTTTGCTCATCACTAATAAAAATCATTTATATCTCACTTTAGCTGGACCATTCCCATTAAAGCACAATCAACAGTTTAACAACATTGATCCTCTAGTGTTGATTGATGCATTAGCCGCAATTATGGGGCATGAAGAGAAGGAACTATGCAAAGCAGCAAATTTTGCAATGATTCTAATTATTAGAACAGCAACAACAATTATGGGATCAAAGGAAAGAGCTTGTCGTTTAGCAATGATGCAATATTTGGCTGAAAAGATGTCAAATTTATGCTATGAACGACCTTGGTATGCAAAGTTAGGCGGTGTCATTGCCCTTAAATTTTTGTGTGAACATATGTCAATGAGATGGCTTTTCCAGCATTTATACACATTTCTTAAAGCTTATCTCTTCGTTATTATGGATTTAACTGGTGAAGTTTCAAGTGGAGCTATTTCATTGGCAAGAGAATATTTAGCAAATATGCTTAATATTTGTATGGTGCCATTAAATGACAGCAATAATGATGAATTAATCGCTTTGCAACGAAAGGCAATGTTTGATGTTACACATGAATTGGTACGAAGAATTACATCTCCTCATACTTTAGTTCGTGAAACTGCAATGGATTCGCTCAAACAAATTGCTACTCTTCAAAAAGTATCAGTCACTGAAGTTATGATGCCACACAAAGGTAAATAATATTTAACGGATTTTTTTAAATTGTAGCTTATAAATTAAAAATTTTAAAACCGCTATATTTAAAGTTCAAATTTTGAACTTAATTTTCAAAATAACTTTAACCGTTAAAACTTAAATTTCAAGAAACCGTTATTAATTTACAGAATCCCTTGAAGACATTGTGCCACCAAAGAAGCATCTACTAAAACATCAGCCAGCAGGTGCTCAAATTGGATTAATGGATGCATTTTCATTTACTTCAATGGAACCAAAACTATTCACACTCGATATTAACATTGTTACTCATAAGTTATTCTTCCATGAAGTTATTACACTAGCTGAAGTCGATGATGTATTTTTGAGTAAATTAGACTGCTTTAAGAACATCAACAACTTGATACCATTAAGAAAGAGTGCATTGAGAGCACTTGCAAGTTGTCATTATCTTGGTCAAGATAGGAAAAATGTTAAGGAAAAGATTTTTACAATTTTGTATAAAAATTTGGAGAAAAATTCAGAACTACAAGAGACAGCATTTGAATGCATGCAGAAATTTAACCTTGGCAGCTCAGCTGAAAAGGAATTTTTGTTGCATAATTTAAGACCTCTTTTGTTGGCACTTGGAGATTATAAGAATTTGACAATTAATATTGTCAAGAGGTTGTCATACTTAACACAACTATTTCCAGCTATGTTTAATGAAAAATTATGTGACCAACTTTTTGAGATCATCAAGAAAATGCTGGAAGTGTCAAAAACAGCTAATAAGAATCAAAACTTCCTTAAAGTATCAAAAACTGGTGAAATGGAAGTGAAAATAGCCACAATAATTGAAATTTTCCATCAAATCCCTGCTGCTTCTTCGAAGTTCGCACCACTTTTAATCAGTGCTGTTCTTAAAGCTGAAAAAGAATTAATGATTGAGCCATCAAGTCCATATAGAGCTCCATTAGTGAAGTTCCTTAAGAGATATCCAGAAGAAACAATCGAGATATTCTTGCATGAAAGCAATGTCAAGAATCCACAATATAATCGGTTCCTAATTTACTTGCTAAAGCACAAAGATGGAGTTGCATTCCAAATAATTCTGCAAAACAAGGAATATAGACTTGTTGAATTAATTTTGAAGGAGAAATCATCAGAATATACAACAGACGACGAAACAGCGGCACAACATCAATCAATATTAATCATCTACACATTAATTGACATGAATGAGAAGTGGATTGATGCACAAGTGAATATTATTAATGCACTGACATTAATTTGGACGAGAGAATTGGGAAGTTCGGGAACTAGTGAGCATATCACTTGTGACTTGTGGCATTTAGTTGGAAAAATCTTGCTAAAATATTTCGAGTCAAATAACAGCAACATTAAGCTACTTTACGAGCTTTTGAAGGCATTCTGTATGCGATTTATTCCAGATTTTCAATTCCTTCGAGATTTCATTCAGAATAAAGTCTGTCAAACGTATAATGTCGAGTGGATGAGAAATGCTTTCTTCCTGTATGTGAAATTCCATAAAGATCCAATGATATCTGTTGATTTAAAGGTCAAAATCTTATCGATGATAATAATTCCTGGATTTGCAATATGTTTTGATAAAGGACAAGGCGAGGAACTAATCTGCTCATCAGCTATATCCAGCAGTCAACAATCACAAGATGAAGACGATAATATTGTCAGTGTATACATCAATAAAGTAATTGATCCAGAAAAGTCAATTGAGGACGATGATGATGCATTAAGAATTGCATTATTGCAGCTTGCATGTTTATTAGTTGAGAGAAGTTCAGCACATATTCATGACGGTTCAGGAACGAGTACAAATAAGAAAGAAGGAAGTAAATTAAGACGATTGATGACATTTGCATGGCCTTGCTTATTGGCAAAGAATTATGTAGATCCATCAGCTCGTTATCATGGACATTTATTGCTTGCTCATATTATCTCCAAATTAGCAATAAATAAGCGAATTGTCCTGCAAGTTTTCCATTCCTTACTTAAAGCCCATGCTGTTGATGCTAGAAGTTTAGTGAGACAAGCTTTAGAAATTATAACACCAGCATTACCGTTCAGAATGGATGATGGGAATCAAATGTTGACACATTGGACAAGAAAAATAATTTTAGAGGAAGGACATTCAATGCAGCAATTAAATCACATTTTACAACTTATTGTGAGACATTATAAAGTTTATTATCCAGTCAGGCATCAATTAGTACAGCAAATGATATCGTCAATGAATCGTCTTGGATTTTCACCAAATAGTTCAGTTGATTATCGAAAATTGGCAGTAGAACTAGCAGAAGTTGTCATTAAATGGGAATTACAAAGGATTAAAGAAGAAACTGATGGACCTAGTGATGAAGATCCACTGCTTGTTACTGAAAAGACAGGAACAAATGGAAGTGTTAAGAGATCAATTCAGGAAGATGAAAGTCGAAAGAAAATAAATACAGGAGATGCAGCTGGCCCATCTACAGCAGCAGTTACACCCACACAAAGAAATGAAGACTATTTTAGGCCAATTGAACGAATCCATTGTGATGCTGTTCTTAATTTCCTGTTCCGTTTAGCATGTCAATTGGGTGATATTCAGCCACAAATTCCTGGAATTCAATCCCCTAGCGAAGGACTTTCAAGACGATGTGTGACACTGATTAAACGTGTTTTAGATCCAAATGTGTGGCTTCATAGCTGTGACATGAAACTTCAATGGCTTGATAAAATCTTTATATCAATTTCTACGGAACCGACACAAGCAAATATTGGAAATATTTGTACTGGATTAGAACTTTTGACTTATCTTCTCGGCTGTATGAGACGAGATCAATTGCTTGCCATATTCAGACCATTACAAAGAGGACTTTCTGTCTGTGTCACTAATCATAATGTTAAAATCATTAAAATGATGCACGCGTTATTGACGAAATTAATGTCTATCTTTCCACCAGACCATAAACATAATACTGAAGATCATTTGGATCAACTTTATGCTACAATAAGTAAAACAATTTGTGATGGATTGTCACAATTTGAAAAAAATCCAAAAGCTAATCCAAGTTCACTTTATGGAACGTTGATGATATTGAAAGCAGCTTGTTCAAATAATCAGTCTTACATTGATCGGTTAATTGTGCCATTTATGCATATTCTTGATAGATTAAAGAAAGAACATATTGGTCCAGTTACTCAACCTCCACAGCCACCGACAACTCAACCAGTAACAGCTACAACTCCACAACCAGCTGCACAAGGCGCTTCAAACTTAACAAATACTGAAATCACGCTAGATCTTTTAATTCTATCATTGGATCTTGTTAAGAATCGTGTGATCGTGATGGGAGTTGATTTAAGAAAAATGTTTATTGGAACCATTCTTGTTGGACTAATTGAGAAGTCTACAGACCCAAAAGTCATTCGAGCAATAATAAAAATGATTGAGGAATGGATGAAGAATAAAAACACACCAGTAACAGTTTTACAGGCACCAACATTGAGGGAAAAATCGATTCTACTTGTTAAATTGATGCATTATGTCGAGAAAAGATTTTCTGACGATGCAGAACTTAATGCACAATTTTTGGAGCTTGTCAATTTCATTTATCGTGATGATCAATTGAAAGTCAGCGAGCTTACAGCTAAATTGGAGCAGGCATTTTTGGCTGGTCTAAGATGCTCACAGCCACACATTAGAAGTAAATTCTTTGAAGTATTTGACGGCTCTATGAGACGTAAATTACATGATCGACTGCTATACATTGTATGTTCACATTCGTGGGATTCAATTCAGCATCATTATTGGATTAAACAATGCATTGAACTGCTTCTATTGACCACAAACACGACACATTCACAAATTAAAAATTCTAATGAGACTCATCTGTTGCCGAGCATCACTTCCGTTATAAATCTCGCTGATTCAGAAGAAAAGAATAATTTTGTGATTTATACATCGCTTCAGCCTGAACAGCATGACATGAATGTAAGTGAGGACAAAGAAGATGCAATTGACATGGAAATGAATGTTGACAATAATATTTCAAAACGTGAGGAAAGCGAACGTCCAATGGAGAATCGTATTGCTGTTTTATGCAAATTACTTAATAGACAGTCTGAATTTTTGGATGCATCGCGTAAAGTTAAGACAGAACAATTTTTAATAGCCAGTTCGCAACTTTGTCATATGGATACACCACTTGCTGAATCAGTTTGGCTTAATGTGTTCCCTAAACTATGGTCTATCCTGGAAGATGGACAACAACATGCTTTAGATCGAGAATTTGTTCCATTCTTATCGTCCGGAACTCATGTAATACAGAAAGATTGCAATCCAAGTGCTATAAATACGTTTGTAGAAGCCTTGTCGCAATGTCAACCGCCAATTTATATTCCACCAAGTCTCATGACATATTTGGGTAAATCACACAATTTGTGGCACCGAATGACACTTTTGCTCGAAAATATGGCACTTGATTGGCCTAATAAGAAGGATGCAGTCGTTAGTCAAGATTATCGTAGCGAGTACGATTTTGATGTTGAGCTGCAGAATGAAATTGCCAATTCTAATAACAGCGGTAAGTCTTTTATCATGATTTATCAATTTATTTTCTATTAGGACATAGCTGTGACTTGTTGCCTATTTCGAGACATATAATATTTTCTAATTCTCATTAATCAAATTTCTCCGACAGATACAGTGTCAGCAGTATTAGAGCCACTATCACAGATGTATTCAGCATTATATGAAGAAGATTTATGGGCTGGATTATGGCAAAAGCATGCAAAATATGCTGAGACAAACGCAGCAATATTTTATGAGCAAATGGGTCATTTTGAGGAAGCACAAAAGCTCTATGAAACAGCAATGACAAAATTCAAGCAAGAAGCACAAACTGGAAATATTGCAGCAGATTTAAATAGTGAATTGCTTTTATGGGAAAATCATTGGATACGCTGCACAAAGGAGTTAAATGAATGGAATATTTTATTGGATTATGGACAATCTAATAAAGACAAGCATGCATTCTTGATTATGGACAGTGCATGGAGAGTTCCTGATTGGAATTTGATGAAACAAGCATTATTGAAGGTCGAACAGACAAGTCCAAAGCAAATGGGACATAAAGTGAGTTTGTATCGAGGATATTTAGCTATTTTGAATCAGGAAGATACACAGCATATTCCATCAGTTGAAAAGTATGTCGAAATATCCTCAGCACTTTGTATGCGCGAATGGAGACGGCTACCAAAAGTTGTGTCTCACATTCACTTGCCAATATTACAGTCAGCACAACAAATTATGGAACTTCAAGAAGCAAGCCAAGTTCATCAGCAGCCATTGAAAATTCCTGATATTAAGGCTGTTGTTAAGACATGGAGGAATCGATTACCAGTTATATCTGATGATTTATCACACTGGAGTGACATTTTCACTTGGCGTCAACATCATTATCAAATAATTACTGACAATATGGCAAATTGTGATTTAGGTCCACATGCTTCAGCTCAGACAATCATACAGTTCGGAAAGATAGCAAGAAAACAAAACTTGTCGTCAGTTTGTCATAATTTATTGTCAAGAATCCACACAATCCCAACAGTTCCAGTTATTGACTGTTTCCAAAAGATTAGACAGGAAGTCAAGTGCTTTGTCCAAATGTCTGCAAATACACAAGATCAAAGCTCATTATCTGAAGCACTAGAAGTGATTGAGACAACAAACATAAAATATTTCAAGCCAGAACTTGTTGCTGAAATTTATGCATTAAAAGGCAATTTATTGAAACAAATGTCGAGAATGGATGAAGCTAATAAGGCATTCAGTGTTGCTGTCCAATTATCTGATGTGCTGCCATCTGCGTGGGGTATGTGGGGTAATTATTTGGAAGCTAATTTTTCGAAAGATCCAAAAAATACAACATTAGGAATTTCTGCAATGATTTGCTTCCTTCATGCCTGCAGACAACAAAATGAGTCAAAGACAAGGAAATATTTCTCAAAAATAATTTGGTTATTGACTTATGAAGAGAAACGAGCGGAAATGCTGGAAATGGTTGATAAATATGGATCAACAATTCCACCAATACAGTGGCTTCCTTGGGTTCCACAGCTCCTTAATTGTCTGATTCAGTATGAAGGCGAACATATTATGAACTTATTGAGTAATATTGCAAGGAACTTTCCCCAAGCTGTCTATTTTCCAATTCGAACTCTTTATTTGATGCTTAAAATTGAACAGCGTGAAAGATACAAGAGTGTAGAACAGGCATTAGCTAAGAATCAGCAACAACAGCAACAAAGTGATTCATCAGATCAAGCGAGTAGCTCCACAGCACCGCCACCAATCTCGACTCAAATAAGCTCACAATCTATACAAATTAAAGCTAGTCCACCGATGTATAGATGCTCAAAAATAATGCACATGCAGCGTGACATCCATCCAACAACTTTATCATCTCTAGAGGGAATTGTCGATCAAATGGTTTGGTTCCGTGAAAATTGGTATGAAGAAGTATTAAGGCAATTAAAACAAGGATTGGCTAAATGTTATGGAATCGCATTCGACAATCGTGGTGCTGTAAATGAAGCAACAATCACGCCGCATACTTTAAATTTCGTGAGGAAACTTGTATCTACTTTTGGTATTGGCATTGAAAATATCTCAAACAATACAAATATTATGGCTGGTTCTTCAGCTTCCGAGTCACTTGCACGACGAGCACAAGCTACTGTCCAAGATCCAGTATTCCAAAAATTAAAGGGACAATTCACGAGTGACTTTGACTTTTCACAGCCTGACGCAACAAAAATGCAAAATTTAATAACAAAATTGAAGATTTGGATCAAAATTTTAGATGTTAAGACTAAGCAGCTCCCTAAGTAAGTAGCCTTTTAGTTGTTATAATTATTGTCAATTTATTAATCTCACTTCTTCACAGATCCTTCTTAATTGAAGAAAAATGTCGATTCCTCTCGAATTTCAACCAAAAGACAGCAGAAGTGGATTTACCAGGTGAACTTTTACTTCCAAGACATTCTCATTATCATGTCAAAATCGCAAAGTTCATGCCACGAGTTGAAATTGTTCAGAAGCACAACACGTCTGCTAGAAGATTGTTTATTCAAGGAACTAATGGAAAGGTGAGAATTAGGGATTAAAATAAATCGTTGGATTAATCTTTGAATTAAATTTAATCTCAGGATTAAGTTTATTTGGTTTAATCTTTTAATAAATCCAAACATAACATCACTTAAAAGAAATCTCAATTCCCATCCACAGATTTATCCATACTTAGTCGTTAATGACTCAGGACTTGCGGATGCAAGACGAGAAGAAAGAGTCCTTCAACTACTTCGAATGCTCAATAGCTACTTGGTCAAGTACAAAGAAACAAGCAAAAGATTCTTACATATTACGGTACCAAGAGTTGTAGCTGTTTCCCCACAAATGCGTCTAGTTGAGGATGATCCATCGTCAATATCTTTGCTAGATGTTTTAAAGAATTATTGCTCAAGATTGAATATTGAGTATGATGCACCAATTACTAGATATTATGAACGATTAGCGGAAGTACAGCAGCGTGGATCACAGACAACTCATGTCACATTAAGGGATATTTTCAAGGAAATTCAAATTAATATGGTTCCAAAAACCGTCCTTAAAGATTGGTCCTCCAAGACATTTGTATCAGCTACTGATTATTGGACATTCCGTAAAATGTTTACATTACAGCTTTCATTGTGGTCTATTGTGGAATACGCTTTTCATTTGACACGCTTAAATCCTGACATGCTGTATTTGCATCAAGATTCAGGATTAATTAATGTTTCATACTTTAAATTTGACTTGGACGATATTAATGGAGAAATGAACTCAATACGACCAGTTCCATTCCGACTCACACCGAATATTGCAGAATTTATTACTAATATGGGAATATTAGGTCCATTGACAGCATCTATTATGGCAACAGCTCGATGCTTCTCACAACCTAATTATCAGGTATTTATTGCTTATAGCCAATATTTTTTTTTAAATTTTGAACTTTAATTTACAAATGTTTTCTGACCATTATTATTATTTTAAAAATGCTCAACAGATCCCATCGATCCTCAAGACAATATTAGCTGACGAAATAATCACGATTCATCGAAAGCACATCATTAATACAAAGCCAATTGACCCAAATGAGGACCTTTCGCAGGATAAAACATTCAGTGAAATAAATATTGATAATGTCATACAGACAGTCAATAAAAGTGTCAGTCAAATTTCGGAACGACTTAACTTACTATCAAATTATGACTATAATGATGGAAATAAGATGGCACAACTAATTCAGCTTGCCCGTAATCCTGACTATCTTTGTAGAATGGACCCTATTTGGTTCCCATGGTTTTAAGAAACTTTAAATACGTTTATTAGGTTTAGCTTTGAATATTTTTTCTTTGAGTTTGTAATGGATTTTAAGTTTCTTTTTAGAGTAACCTGATTGATATTTCAATAAAAATTTCATTAATAATTAAAATTGACAATTTAGGAAAAAAAAGTTGTTTTAAATATGTTGCAAATAAATTTTAAGTTTTTTTATTATTTGAATTTTCAAGAACTTCAGATGCAAGTTCAAAATTTTATCTGAATCAAATAATTTCATTAAATAAGGAAATCTTCAATGAATTCGTGTACAATTTTCCGAATGATAAAGCTGTTTGGAACAAAAAAGCTATAATTGAATCTGATATTTGGGATCATACTGTTTAATTAATAATTGGAACTTTAAACAAAAATATAGGAATATCAAACATATAATATGTCAATTGAAAAGCATTCAACCTTTTAAGTCCACAGAATTATAGTAAAATAAATGAAAATGAGCTTTTAAGCTATAAAAATGGTTATATATTTAACGGCATTTTCAAAATCAAATAAATCTTTTTATAGGAAAAAAAATTATAGCAAAAAAAGTGAAAAATAAAATGAAATTTATGAGACACAAAAAAGTTAATTTAATTCAAATTTGAGGTTTTTTTGAGCCAAATAAGATGAAATTTCATTTCATATTACTAAGTATAGTATCATTAAGTTTCGGATTAGTGCAAGAACAGGATAAACAGGTGTGAAAAGTGAAAAAATCAAAAATTAAAATAAATTCTTTATAATAATAAATATTGTGGATGTTTATTAATATTTTATTATGATCGATTGACATACAGGATTGTACAGATGTAACTAGGACAGAACAGGAACCTATATTAGTGCTATCTACATTAAATGGAGACTTGTTGGCAATGTAAGTTTGTTATTTTGATCTATTTTCGCAACATTTATTGCCTTGCATGATTTATTTACTGATAACATAAAATACACCGAAAAACAGTGCTTAATACGTTTTGAAATACTTTTGCGTAATACAATATAGAGATCCCAACAACGGCGACTTAAAATGGAAGTTAAACGAGGAGCCGTCAGTTAAGACAGAGAACAACAATGAGTATTTCTCATCTAATTCTGTATACTTTCCCGATCCAATAAGTGGAAATCTTTATAAGCTACGCATGCAAGAAAATGGAAAAAATAATGAGCTAAGGAAGTTGCCATTCACGATTCCAGAACTTGTCACTCGCTCGCCTTGTAAATCGAGTGACGGAATTTTATATTCAGGCAAAAAGTCTGATAATTGGTGAGTATTGTCAACTTTCCCATAACTGCTGTGGTCGTGTTAAGGAAACTATAAAATAGCTCATTAAACATTCAAAAAGACCTGTAAAAATAATAACTGTCCCGAATGTTTACTCAATAAATAGGTTCATGATAGATCCAAAGACAGGGAAGCGTGAATGGGTAATGGGATTTGGTGCAAAGGATGCAAATGATTTGTTGGGATATGCCACATCGCGAGCCGTATACCTTGGACGGTAATAATAGGATTTAATTGCGTAACTGATTAAATTTTCATGTTGAAAACTTTGCATTTATTTTTCAACATGTAGAACACAGTACACGGTGTTAATGTATGATACGACGGAAACAAACAGCAAGCCATGGAATATCACGTTTTATGATTACAATTCACATACGATGGCACCAGAAATTCTCGACAAATATGAATTCATTCATGTAACGTCAAGCACGACTGGTAAAATTATCACAATGAACAAGAAAAGTGGTAATTTTTTGTGGCAATTAAGTGATGATATCTACGAATCGCCTATTGTTGCCATTTTCATATTGACAAGTGAGGGATTTCTCAGCGTACCGTTCACAACAGTTAGTGAAAATGTCATCGAAAAAGTTATTGATTATAGTTTGAGTGAAACGAAAAGTGATTTTCAGCTATAGTAAGTGAAAACTAATACATGATGAAGGCAATTTTTTACCGTGCTTTAATTAGGAAATTGATGTGTGAAAAACTTCAATTTTTATCTCAAAACTTCATGTTAACAGCTGTTTTGAGTTTTTGGAAGTTGTTGCTAACTTGTGTGTTTGTTTTCGAGATTCTTGTGTAACTTTAATTAAGAATATTTCGAATTTTAAACCTCTGATGGTTATAGACACTCCATTTAGTAAGTTGAACGTACTTAAAGATGATAATTAAAACTAATCTTGTCACAACAATGGCTAGTCCGTAAAAAACAGCTATTAGCACTTAAAGTAAACAAGTCTGCACCCAAAATAATTTGTGAAAGCATGTTTCATTCACCGGCAAATAGCCAGCCACACAATCAACTCAAATGGTTTATTTTTTTTTGTATAAACAATAATGCGGTGTGAATGTGACTCATACCGGCATTAAAAGCCGGTACAATATCTTGTTATCACTTTACCGCTAAATGTATTAAGCTACTACTGACGAAAATTCATAGAATTTTGAAACACAAGTCAAAAGCAAGCCATAAAATAATCAAAAGCATGTTAAAAAGTTGGACCTTGAAATGCTTGATAAGAACTTGACATAAACAATGTTTTAATTATTTTCTCCCTTAAAATAACAGTGAGACAGTTTATGTGGGCGAAAGTAAAGACAAAAAGTTTGATACTTTGTATGCTATACCATCATACATAGATGATTTTACGCCAACGATAAAGAAGAATCGAATAAATTTGTTAGAGGGGCCGAAAGGCAAGAATTCGAGATATGATGACGATGAAACCGTACCAGCAAGTGATAAGCAAACAAAAGATAAAAAGGACAAAAATATAATATTTTTTGGACATTATGAAGTACCGACAACCGAAACATTCTTTGAGACTATATCGACGAAATCGAAAGATGGCAATAATCAGCTCTCAGTTATTAAGCACCAACCGTTTGCGAATTTATATACAAAAAGTAAGAATGATGAGGATAGTACGATAATTATAAATGAATCTGGATCTGCAATAATCAATGAAACGGATAATGATAATGATGATAAGGCAAGCATTGTAGAGACACCAGACGTGAAAAAAATTGGATTCTTAAAGCACATCAAAAACAGTTTAAAATCATGGATGGATCAAGAAGAAAACAAAGTTTTAAAGCTTTTAATGGTCATTTTAATTGGAATTGTGATTACAATGTTCTGGTACTTTCACACGACAGTCAAAGAGGTAATTTTTTATTTATCAGAGTGGAAAATTGCTTTTCTGACATCATCCTCACTTTTATTATGTTCCCTCTAAAACAGCTGCGACAACAATCTCAAAATGGTTCAAATACTGTGCTACGCGTCTCTGGCAATTCCAACAATAGCGATTACAGCGAGCCATTTTACAGCACCGGTAAGTCAATTATTTGCTTAATAATAGTCATTTATGTATGCATCGTCATCTATTTCATTTACTGGATGATATTCAACGGGCTCGTTCGTTAAGTCAAGATGTTTTTGGAATGCATGAATAACAAACGTAAAGTATAGCTCAGCACCTGGTTAAATAATACGCAATTGTAATTAATATAATCAATTATTTCGAGCGGATATCTCACCTATCGATAGAAGATCTATTAAAATATACAATATGTTGTATTTGTCAATGTAGCAGGCTACAATTAGCAACAGAATTAACACTATTTGATAGATTCTCCAGACTGTTATCAACAATTTATTCACCTGAAATGTGTTTTTCAATGTTATTAAGTTAAAATTTACATGCGTTTTCTATTTCAATTATTCTCACATTCCGGATCTCATACCTTTACAAAAGCATATATAAGTAGGAGCTCAAAAACGGCACCGATTACGCACAGAATAAAGAATGATAGCAGAATTGCAAAGTGAACTGGAATGAGATTGTTAAAAAGAGGTTTAATTTTGGGTAGTTTGTGGGTTTGGGTTAATAGTTTAAAGGCATTTAAAGGTGATGCTTAAAGGATTGGTCAGCAGTTCCACACATGTATTAAACGTGCATTAAAAAACATTAAGCAACTTTGTAGATTATGTTGAGTTTTGGGATTAATCCTCCTGCTTATCTGGATAGGGACTGTTCATAAATAACGTCCCTTGGTACAAAATTTGTAGAACAATGTCAACAAGACTAACTTATACCTAATTCTGACGCAATGTTGACAATTTATTTAAAGACGGAGTTGCTATAAAAATTATAACTTCTCACAAAAGAACACGTTAGGTCTGCAATTTGATTGAATATTTCACAACACTTCATTAATATTTTCTCATCTTCATCCAGATAATAATCGTGTGGGAACAACCAGCGTCAATTTTTTAAAATACACTTCAAACTTGTTTAAAAATTCACAATGTGAACGATAAAAAATTTATCAATCAACAAAAAAAAACACCGTTCCGATATTCACATCCAATAAGTCACACAAAAATGACTTTGCTATGTCTTTCAAACCGCTTTATTTAATTCATCACAATCACAGGTTTTCATTTTCACATCAAATAACTTACGATTGAATTGTGTCTCGATATAAAATTTAATAAGCTGTGCTGACCATATCACTAGACCATTGATTGCCGCAACAATTCCCGATTCGACAAGTGGAATGCAAATACAAAATTTCTTCATTATTTTAATTAAATTTATGTCTGAATAGTTTCACGTTCTCTTTGACACTCTCACTAAATAATTACTTACCTACTACTCAGATGTAGATATAAAAATCTCTAAAATTAAAAGAAAAGAAGTGATTCTTTTATTTATTTATTTTTGTGGAGATAAAAATAACTTATAGTAAATGATTTGAGTCAGGGAAAAATAGCTTTAAACGATTATTTTTTTGTGGCTGCTTGAAAGCTAGTAAACGTTTTTTTTGGAATTGTAGGGTTTTATTAATTGGAAATTTGTGAGGTTTTTAAAAGAATTTGTAAGGTTTTAGGCTATAATTGTGAGGTTTTAAATAACTTTAGTAAATTTTATGAATTTGTAAGGTTTTGATTGAGATATTTGAACGGTTTTGAAGAATTTGTAGAGTTTTCAACTTTTATGCAGCTCTATTGACAGTTAATAAGTTTCAACATTAAATCAATTCCTTAAAAACAAATAATATGCAGCCATGTGCAATAATATAAATAATGCAATCAGCAAAATCACTAGTCTGTACAATATTCCTGATAACAACAGCAACCTTCCAAAAACAATTCCAAAGTATGGTTCACATAAATGAATCAACTTTATAGTCTGTGTATTTTCTACTCGCAGAATTAATCTCAAATAACAATTATTTTAATTTTATATTTTTTATCTCTCTTACTTTCAGATGAGCACATCAAGATAGGCAAAATCTCTTTCAATCCGCGTCTCATTTTGGGTAAAGGATGTGAAGGAACCTTTGTTTTTCGTGGCACATTTGAGAATCGCGATGTTGCAGTAAAAAGATTGTTGCCAGATTGTTTTACTCTCGCTGATCGTGAGGTTGCGTTGCTGAGAGAATCAGATACACATGAGAATGTCGTGAGATATTTTTGTACAGAAAGTGATCGACAATTTAGGTATATTGCGGTAGAGTTGTGTTCTGCAACATTGCAGGATTATATTGAGGGGAAAAATGCTGATGGACTTCAGCAGTTGATTGATATGAAGGAAGTTTTATATCAAGCGACTAGTGGACTTAATCATTTGCATCACTTAAACATTGTTCATCGTGATATAAAGCCACAAAAGTGAGTACTCAAATGATTCTAAAGATATTAATTTAAATCCAGTGGATTAAAATAAATCTGATGGATTTAAAATAAATTTTTGAAATAAGGTCAATCGGATACCATTACCAGTGTAATCTGTACTTTTCCCATATCAACAGCATAGTTATAAACCTATTAACAATATATATAATTTATTTCTTATCTATTTCCACAGTGTACTAATCTCTTTACCAGATAATAAGAATCGTGTGAGAGCGCTCATATCCGATTTTGGGCTGTGTAAAAAGGTTAACGTAGGAAAAGCCTCTTTTTCAAAGAAGTCAGGCATCACTGGAACTGATGGATGGATAGCTGCTGAGATGATAAGAGGAAATAGAGTTGTAAGTGCTGTTTTTAAGCCTTTAAGACAAAAATACTTATAATTTTCCTCATTGCAGTCAATATCCGTAGATATATTTTCAATGGGTTGTGTCTACTATTTTGTCTTATCAAATGGACAGCATCCCTATGGTGATACACTGAAACGTCAAGCAAACATTCTTTCAAATGAATATGATATAAGTAATTTAGCGACTATTAGAACGAAGCAGTATGAAAATATATTAGCGATGGAACTAATTGGTGATATGATAAACAAAGACGCGTCTAAAAGACCTAGTACGGAGGCAATTTTAAAGCATCCACTTTTTTGGAGAGAGGAGAAAATTTTGAGTTTTTTTCAGGATGTTTCAGATAGGATAGAAAAATTAGATTTAAATAATGAGCCGCTAAGGACTCTCGAAAGGAATGCAGGGCTGGTTGTGCGAGACGATTGGAGTGTGCATCTACATGAGGAAATCACAGCAGATTTGAGAAAGTATCGTGGCTATTATGGAATTAGTGTGAGGTGTCTGTTAAGAGCACTTAGAAATAAGAAGCATCACTATCATGAACTTTCGTCGGATATGCAAAAGATTTTAGGCTCAATACCAAATGATTTTGTAAGATATTGGATAACTAGATTTCCACATTTATTGTCACACACTTATCATGCAATGGAAACTTGTGCAAAAGAGAATATTTTTAAGCGTTATTACAGTACACAATATCAATTTACAAAGCCAGACTATTTGTTTGATGAGGATCTGGATAACTATGCACTATCAAGTCAAGAGTGTTCAAAGCCAATCACAAAGGAGAAGAATTACAATAAAAAGGAGAATAAGCAGCCTAGCAATAGTAGTAATAATTTTAATAACAAAACTAAACGTGGTGCGTACAATTTCCTTAAGGTTCAAGGTAAAGCTAATGATGCTGGATTTATTACGCGTGGTGAAATGATGATGCCAAAATGTGATAGCGAGGAAAAGTTCACATGGAAGCTGACTAATTAATAAATTAATATTTGTATTAAGTGCCCAATGAAATGTTTATTTTTTATACTGTATATTACATTAAGTCACTAAATGTAGATGAAATTTTCTATGAAAATAAAATGTTTAAGAGACTGTCAAATTTGAGATATTCACCACTAAACTACCGAGGATAAAATATTATTAACATGATTTTTGTGCAAAAATCCGCTGATAATAAATTCAAATCTGTAACAGAAAAAAAATAAATTTGAAATAATATTTATAGCAAGTCGCATAATTTTATAGGAAAATTATTATAAAGGAAATTTATCAACAAGAGAGTGTTAATTTTAAGTTTTTTGTATGTAAAATATTAATTAAAGTAATGAATTCAACACCAAATTATGGATCGATTCCATCAACATCAACGTCATTTTCTCCAACAGAATTTCTGATATTAAAAGAACAAATTAATTCAAATTTAATTATAATTAAAAAGAATGCAAACAAACTAGACAAAATTTTTAAGGTATATTGAGAATTTACTGATAATAGGCAGTTCCCATAAATATTATCGTCTTTACAGGCTATTGGCTCAAAGGCTGACACACCTGAACTGCGGAATAAAATGTGAGTATTACGAATTAATCATAGAAATTTATGTTACGAATTCCTTTTATGATTACGCATTTTGCGTTGCAGACAAGGCATACAGAAGACAACAAATGAAGTCATACGGACAACGTCGTCACTAATTAAAAAACTTAATTCGATAGTCAAATTTTCAGCAACCGAAAAAGCTCAGAAAATCCAGACAGAGAAAATCATTTCTGAATTTAATCTAGTTGTACAGCGATTTTTGCAAGTATGTCAATCACATCTGCACGGGTCGTTCACAAGTTACGTCCTATCAATCTGTGAACATGATTTTTTAAAAAAACTGTCTAGTAATTTATATGAAGCACTTTTGAGTTGCATAGACAGGATTCAATAATGGACGTCACTTGTGAACAAATCTTAGTTGCATGAGTCATGAATCTTAACTGACATTTTTTACATGTTTTAGTCGGAAAAGCTATTAAATTCCAAAATCAGAAAAGCTCTCCTGATTAATGTAGACGATGAGGACGTGCCCCAAAGTACGGCAAGCGGTGCATATCAGCAACAGCAAATTCAAATCCAACAAGACATCAGATTTGATAATGACCTACTAGTTGAACGGGAACATAACATTTTAAAGATTGAGGATGACGTTAATGAAATCTCTCAGATTATGTCAGAAATATCAACGCTCATTCAAGGGCAAGGAGAAATGGTTGAGACTATTGAGAATCAAGTATCAGATGTAGAGACTAATGTGGAGGAAGGAACGGCTGAATTGAGAAAAGCATCAAGTTATCAGCAAAAGATTAGGAAGAAAGCTTTCATAATTTTTTGCATTTTCTTAATTATAGCCATTATTGTTTCAATCTCAATTTATAGGAGCTTGTAGATCTTAATCACACTATCTGCTTAAAATGTAATTAATTATTTACTATTTCATGAAATTTTCTCTACATTATCTCCAATTTTTTCGGATACATTTATGCACTGTGCTAGATATACAAGAAAGGACTGAAAAAAGGAGGACATTGACCTTCAATGTTTTTGTTTCATTCTTTTTTTTCGAAAAGCTTTTGTGATAAATTTTTATAGATTCACGCTGAAGCTTTAAGAGGTAGTTAAATTATATTCATATTTAATTAAATTAAATAATAATAATAATTCAAAGGATCAATAAAGGATGTTTTTTGATAGATCGAAGAGGGATGAGAAATCCTTTCGAGTTTTTAATTAAATTAAATGAGTTTTTCAGGTTTTTGATTTTTAAAAAACCATACAAATTTTTATTTTAAACTAAAAACCATACAAATGTTTTTCAAACGCCTCAAAACCTTACAAATCCAAAATCAAATGAATGTAAAATTCACAATGCAGCACTTACCTCCTAACTTTAATCAAGTGCCTCAAAAAGCTCTTACTTGCCTAACTTGCTATAAAATTTTCTCGTCAGTTCCCAATGTTTTGATTTAAGAATATCATTTTTTTGTTAAAAAAGTACCCAGAATAAAGGCACCAACCAGACCGTGTTCCTTTAAAATAATAATAGTATCCAACAGTAAACTGCCTAAACTAGACAAATAGCAAGTATAAAGTGACAATCGCTGTGAAAATCGTGACTTATTGTGCATTTCTCTTAACTTTTCAGAAGCCGACAAATGGCTCTTCTACTTAGATCACTTTCCAATCAAATTAGACTAAATACATATTTATTACGTCACACATCAGTTTTGAATAGTAGATTGTACTCGCAAGAAGCACAGAAAGCAAGTGGTTCAAAGACTGTAGCGACAGCCAAACCTAAAAGTGAACTTGGTGAGGTAAGAATGAAATCTGGTCAATAATGCGCACATGCTGGGTTTCAATGTTTATGTCATTTTTGATGCCTGGAATGGTAGTAATAGACGACGAAGAGCTTAATTTTGACAGGATAAAAAATAAGCTTTTAATCCACACTTTTGATCTCTGGATTTACATTAAATCCTAGGATTTATTCGTTCATGTTTAATTCTTATAAACAACTCCAATTGCAGGCAAAGCCACTGGGTGAGAAAGTCAAGGAAAATGTTAAGACAACAAGCTATATGGGTGTAATAGTAATCGGTATTGGAGTAACAGCAATAATGTTCTACACGATATTTAGTGAGCTGTTCTCATCAACAAGTCCACAAGCCATTTATGCTGAAGCATTTGAAAAATGTAAGAATGACACGAGAGTACAGGATGCATTAGGGCAACCGATTAAATGTTTTGGCGAGGAAACGAGACGTAGGAGGAGAACTCATGTAGCACATCAACTGTACATGAAGGAGGGACGTACCTACATGAGATTAACGTTTCACATTCAAGGCATTAGGAACAAAGCAACCGTCCAGTGTGATATGAGGCAAAATGATAATGGCAAATACGATTATCGTTATTTATTGGTCCAACTTGATAGTTATCCACACACGACGATAATCATTGAAGATAATCGTGCTAGTGACACCATGTCGATTATTGAGGCGAGTGCTAATACTCCATCATCAGGAAATGGTCCACTCAAAGGCATTTTCTCATAGGATTTTTACTTTTTAATTGCTTATTGTAAATAACTTTAATTTGTCAAAAAGTTGAAGCTTGAGTTTGATTCAAAATTTTTAAAATATATTCATCAGAAATTTGAATGATAATTGTTGCTTTTTTTCTAAGAATTGAGGGGGGGGGGGGGGGGGGGGGTGTTGGCTTATATTACAATGTCTATCTAAAATGCTGTTGTCATCAATTCTTTACGCTGCACACTTGGTGGTAAACCATGACCAAAACCGGACACAGCATACGGTTCGTGTGACAATCCAAAATTTTTGACGGGCTAGCAATCACTGGTGTATGATCATCGAATATTTGGTTTTTTAATAATTTTTGACTTAGTTGACTAGTAAGTGAATAAGCGACATTACAGTCATTGGTCAAAGTGCTTAAACCACCTGAAAAAGAAATGCTGCAAATAATTCAATAAAACACAACAATTTATTAATTTTTTTCGTATATCTTTTTTTAATTTTTCTCACTTTTTCCACAAAAAAACTTACAAATTTTCTTTTATTTATATTTTTAATAATAATTTCCCTCTTGTTTTGCTCATCGCAAATACGAATCAATTTAATAATTATGATAATAACTTACACTGCCGATTTCTTATATTCAATTTGAATGAGATTATTTGATGATTAAGGTAAATGTAAAGTTGATGCAGTTGATTGGTGAAAGATTTTTGAAGAAAATTAAATTACAATTTGAGACAAGGAAGCCTAAAGTCGCTGAATTGTCAACAACATTAAAAAGTTTATAGATTAGGTATATAGGATGCTGATTCATCCAAAAGAAATCAATTGGTTCCAAAAATATGCGAATTGATAAGAATTTCATCATTTAATATTCATATGGAGCCGTTCACTTATGACGTACAGGGGGGGGGGGGGGGGGAGGGCAAAAGGAAATTCAGAGCAATACAAATTACTAGAATCCTATTGTTTATTATTGAAAAATGACCGTAAATATCGGACGTCATAAGTGAACGACCTCTATTTAAATGAATTATGGAATACTTTTTGTTCGAGCAACTGTGGTGAAATTAAAGAAAATCACAAAAATTTAAAAGTATTTAAGACAGGCTTAAAGCTTTGACTTGTCAGTCTCAATTTCATTACGCAAAGGAAAATATTAAACATGAAACTTTTATTTGTTCTTTTCTTTCAAGGTAAAACTATTTTTTACTTAAGCTGTTTTCTGATCAGTGACTGAAAAGACGCATCATTAGGATGTCGCGAGCATTGTACGAATAATTATCATATCGATACCTTGCTTTCGCCAAGGGTGAGCAACTGATCAAAATCTAATTTATCAGTTCCGCACCCTTGGCTTTCGCATTGGGAGATTCGCCTGGATATGGCTCTATCCTCCAGATTCTCCTCTGTTTAAAAAAGAGAGTTGACAATGGAAAAAAATAAATTTAAAGTTTTATGACATAGTGAGGGGATATGAAAATTACTACTGTTTCAAGAGAATCCTGATTGTGTCAAAAGTAGAGAAACTATACCCTTCGTTAGATTACCTTAAACTTAAATATTTCCTTCAATACTGATTTCATCCTTTTTAAAGCTATTTTAGTCTTTGTGATCGCTAAGCCACATGAACAAGATTCCGGAGAACTAGAACTACCAGACGAGAGAGGCCAATGGACAAAGTCACAAGAGATTGCACAAGATATTCAAAGAGTTGGAAATGATATTATTCAAGGAACTGGTTTTGCACTTTGCAAAGTTTTCACTCTTTTTATCAATGACTGCGATTAAGTCAGTCAAATTATTTAATTCCTTCAAAATTTTGAATAAAATATAAAAGTTTTTAAAAATTCATCAAGTTTTACTTCAACCTTTTCTTCTCTTAATCATCAAGCAAGATCCATTACAGAATAATCAAAAATATCAAATCGGCGATCACCTAACTATGCACAGTTCTTTTTTAATTCTTGATGTTGGTTCCCATGAATGCAATAAATTAACATTATCTTCAGCACTTAATGGGAAGATAGAAAGAAGGAAAATATTGAGAAATTTTATGAAGCATAAAGCAAAATATTTTTCTTTCATCGAACCTTTTTAAAGGAATTTCAATCACAAAAAAGCGGACATTTTTTTGGTTTCTCTCAAAAAGCATTCAATTTTGTTTATCATCATTTTTTTTTCATTAAATCTAGTTTAATTTGCACTTTTCAAACTTATTGCCTAAAATAATTCATCGAAAAAAAGAGAGAAAAACCACGGAAAAAAGGTGAAAATTCTTATGGAAAAGCTTGAAAGCCTTCAAATTGTTTTCTTTTTCGCTACTTTAAAATTCTTTCTTTCAATATGTGATTGGTTAAGATTATTATTGATTGGGCTTGTTGGAGTTATGTTCAATGAATTGATGGTCATATCTAGTCATTTGTGTATCTGCTGCTGGTTTAAATAATTAGTCAAACTTAAGATCCAATTCAATCAAGAACAGATTTAAACCTCAATGTCAAAATCATTGGAATTTCAAGGATATCCTTTTGATATGCACAAATAGAGCCTTAAAATACACGATGCTGGGTTATAAGTCCAGAGATTATAAGTCCAGGTACAAAAATCGTGCACAGAAAATTATAAGTCCAGAAAATCAAAGTCAATAAAGGTTTATAAGTTCAGATACAAATTGCAGCTGGACTTAAAAACCTCACGTGCAGTTTATAATTCCAGGTACAGATACAGCTGGAATTATAAACTGCACGAGAGGTTTTTAAGTCCAGGTACATTTTATATCTGGACTTATAAACTTCACGTGTGGTTTATAATTCCAGAAAATTTAAAAATTTTACTTATAACCTCCCGGTGCGATTATAAATCCAGATACATTTTTCTGGACTTATAATCCTTGAAAATTATTTGATATTATTTTAAATTTTTTCATTTAAAGTAATTCTTCACATGCATTTTTGAAAACTTCACAAAAAGAATTCACATTTCTCTGATTTTTTTTCCTCTAAAGTACCATACAGGGGCGTAGCCAGGGGGGGGGGGGCATAGGGGGCCCGGGCCCCCCCCTACGAAAATCTGATAATTGTTTTATTAAGTATTTTTAGAGAAGAACCAGTTAATGTAGAGGAAGTGATGAAAAAAATGTCAAAATCAGCACGAAAAATTATATTTAATGTATGAATAATGAATTAAATATTTAAACTTATGAAGAATGAATATAGCTTTAAGGATACAAAATAACAATTTTTTTAATTTTCGAAAATGGGCCCCCCCCTTAAAAATTTTCTGGCTACGCCCCTGGTACCATATAGGGTAAATCATTTTGAAATTTGCGTGTTTTCAGACTTGGAATTTTCAAACGCTTGTAACTAATCGACGAATTGACATTGTGACCTACTAATGGTCTTGAAATGTTGAGAGTCGTCGATATTTTTATTTTTGATCATGTAAAGGTTTTTGTGCTGCATCAATTCAGAGAAAATTGACATTTAAGTTTTCATTTTGAAATATACGCAGAAATTTTAAAATTTGCGCAAAAATATTTTGAAATTTGCGCACTTTTTTGATAGTAATCTTTACCCTATACTATTTAGCATCAAATTACAGCTGTACTAAAATTACAGCTGTAGATTACAGATGAACTTACGTCGTTACGTAAAAATCAATTTACAGCTGTAGTTTAATGTGTATAAGTAAAAACAGTTGTAAATACAGATGGTGTTTATAGCTTAGACAAGTGCTTAGCTGTCCTTACAGTTAATGTAATTTTTCGTAAATTCTGCTGGTTTTGACTATGATTTTACCTTTTACAAAAAGATTGAATAGAAAACAAGGTACAGTAACGTGTAAAAATTTATAAAAATCACATTTTTCGCTCTGGATGTTAACATTTAAAATATAAATAATACAAGAATAAAAAGGGGAAACAAAATCCTCTTTGCTTTGTTTTCTCACAGAATGCAAAAAACTGATTTTTCAATCTGAACAAAACCAATAGATTCACACGTGAATACGGTATGAATATAAAAATTTGAAATTATATCAAATAATTTTCAAAGATTATAAGTCCAAAAAAATGTATCTGGATTTATAATCGCACTGGGAGATTATAAGTAAAATTTGTAAATTTTCTGGAATTATAAACCACACGTGAGGTTTATAAGTCCAGATATAAAATGTACCTGGACTTAAAAACCTCTCGTGCAGTTTATAATTCCAGCTGTATCTGTACCTGGACTTATAAACTGCACGTGAGGTTTTTAAGTCCAGGTGCAATTTGTATCTGGACTTATAAACCTTTATTGACTTTGATTTTCTGGACTTATAATCTCTGGACTTATAGTTTCTGGACTTATAACCCAGCATCAAAATACACAAGCATCATGATATTGGATAAAATCAATTTCAAATCTTTCAGTTTCAGGGTAGAATGTTTGTAAATCGATTCTCTTTTAATTTCAATTCAGATCGAATTTTATTGACAAGTTTTCGTCAATCTATCTGCCAGCTGTAGACTATCATTGCTCATTTTTCATTTATATGATTGAATATCCTTTGATGTTATCAACCAACGGCTGGGGAACTTTATCTACAAAGTTCAAAACCAAGGCATGAGAACTGCTTGATTTGAAGAGTTGTTGTGATATTGATAGCTTTAGGGATCATAGATGAATTACTAAGCCTAGACTGTTATAAGTATGCTTTCTCGATTTCTCAGTCTCGACTAATTCTCGACTTTGGTATCGGGAAAGCAAAGTTTTAAGAAGAAGCTAACTTTCGATCTATACATAAAATATAACCTTTATCTCCCCAAAAAATGTAAGGGTACATCCCTTTCAAGAAACTTTAAACTGCCAACAAATCAGATCACCTAGCCATCAACCTAGAAGTGTGTGGCAGGTTTCAAACTAAAATCGAAGGTGACCACATCTCGATATCCCATTACATCCTCGAACATAATCCAACAAACTCAATACATTAGCTTTTCATAAAGGAAGAAATGCTTCTATGACATCTATGTAGTTTTTTTAATGGTAGGTATAAGTTTTGTAAAGTTTTCTTTATTTCTCGATACTGTTATTTAATCTGGTTTGTGTTTCAATATTAAACACTTTGTGTTACCATGAAAAAATATTAGAATGAGTAAAATTAATTTAAATTTAAGAGCCTTTTTATTGCTTCAAAAAATTATTATTTTTTTTTCTCTGCTAGCTTTTTCATTAGTTTGATGGAACTAATCACAGTATGCATGCTTTCATTTGACGATAATGCCTCATTTGGTTGAATTCAAATAGCTGAATTGTTTTATTGAATCTGACAGGGTTGGAATTTGTGAAATTTCAGGAATGATCTCTAAGCATTTTCTTATTTAAAGAGAGATGCTTTGTGAGATTAAACAATCAAGAATGAGAAGGTGTCAGTAGCTATGTGACACTCCATAGAAACATAAAAGAGAAGCTGTTCTCCTTAATTTGACTTGTAAAACATAAATCAATAAAATTATTAGGGGGCCGTTCACTTATTACGTTCGCATTTTAGGGGGAGGGGGTTTGAAAAATTGTAACAAAATGTAACATAGGGGAGGGGGGGGGGTGGTAGAAATATGTAACGTTTTAACTGTCGTCTGTCTTTTAAAAAAAATTTGTTAACAAATTCACACCAAAAACATTTTTTTCAAAGTAAAATAAATTATGAACGTTCAGGGGGGGGGGGGGGTTGTGAGTTGTAACACATTGTAACAAGGGGGGGGGGGTGAAAAAAGTCGTTTTTTTGCGTAACGTAATAAGTGAACGGCCCCTAGAGCAGATTCATTAAAAAGCTTCATTTTACTTCTCAGAAGAACAAAAGAAATCAATCATCGTCATCGTGACTTGACAAAGACAGTAAGAATCTTTAACAAACTGATTTTCAGGTCGTTTTCTGCACAAGTGACTAAATTGTCACGTGTCGCAGTGTTTGCATAGATTTGTATGTAATACGTACGCTTTATAAGTATTAACACGAAGCCATAGAGATAGATTTAGTGTTTTAAGCACTTGGAACAGCTGGCATGACAAGTCAATCCACTGATGCATATCGCAAATGTGGAGTTTGAATGAAATATAGAATAGAGGAGTCGAAATTTTTATGATTTGCCTAAATTGCATAGTCTAAAGCTACATAGACATTAGATTTTCTGGACAAAAATTTAAGTATGTCATAAAATGTATGCAGGATCACTAGTTTAATTTGAGGCGTCTCAAAAAAGTGTGAAAAAACACTGACGTCGTTATATGCGCCTGATAAGCAACCCCAGTTAAGTTTTATAAACACGGATCAACAGTTTTGCATCCAAAACAATATTTTAACCTCAAATGTTAGGTTAGAAGGCAGTATAAGATCCAATTCTTGTTCACTTTGTGTTCCATTGCTCCTGTTGAGACCAGAAATATATATTTTTTTAGAGGATCTTTGATTTTAAGCGTATTAAAGCAATGCAATTTTCTGAAAGGGATCAATTGTCGTCATTAGCATATCAAACCACATCCCTGTCAATTTAATGAAACACATCAGCTAATTAATTAAAATGAGCCATTAAGTCAATTAAAAATGTTTTTTATTATGATTTTCCTCGCGTGATCAGAAACTTCATTCAATATTTAGTTCCATCCCATTTTAAATGATTTTCATTTTCTCTCACTTTTTAATATAATTCTATGTTTTTTTTTTGTAGAGTAAAATATTCATATTTTATTATTCATTTCCGATAATTGGAAATTTTTCTTTTCTGCATATTTCTCAGCCGTACTTATCATATCATTCATGGTTTCGCAGGCATGTCGAGGATAAATGGAGGTGAAGGTCGCGTTATCATCATGATTGACGACAACATCACAATACAACGAATGACTAGAATAAAAAAAATATTAATAGACATGCTTAAAAAGCAACAACATACAAGCAAGATGTCTTTCATGATTCACATCCTACATCCAACATGCCTGCTCATTTCTGTTCTCAAAAAAAAAAATTTCTTGTTTTCCCTAAAATATGAAAAAGATTTTTTTTTCCATTTTTTTCATTTGTAAATTAATAATAAGAATAATTATAAGATAATATCTACTATAGTAGTTAATAATATTTATAATTATAAGTTCTAATAATGATATTTAATATTGTCATCAGAATTTTTTTTTTCTTCATCATCATCATTAATTATAGTTTATTTTTCAGTCTGCTAAAAATTATCTTCATTTTAATTTTTAAATTTTATAAATTTTGGTGACGTCTACGGATGGAAAAAATATCTTGGCTTTTAACTTTTACTTTATTTTATTTTTGTTTTAAATTTTTAATTAGTAATTTTACGTAACTGAGCTTTTAATGTTGATTTTTTAAATTAGTAGGGAGAATATTTGATAAATTTGTGGATGAAGATTAGAGGCTGGATGTGGATTTCAGCTCAAAAGTGTTCTTTACAAAATGTTTTTTTCCAGCAACTTTAATTATTGAGACTTTACTAGGTTTAGTGTAGAAACCCGAATGGCACAATTCGGTTAAACTATCAGAAATCTGACGTGGCTCTGGCATGGAGCTGAATTCGATTTCCGATCGATTAACCGACTTATGCTTTCCAAGGATATTCAAATGACAGAATACAAATCAGAATGATTTTAAACGTCAATCTGTGCACAGCAAAACCTCTTCTTGTTGAAAAATATCTTTCAGTTTGGTAAGTTTCTCACAAGTTGACCCAAGTCATCAAAAAAATTCTCCCCAAGACACAAAATTTAACCAGATTTTTATAATTTTAAAATTATTTGGCTTTCCAAAAATTATTATTGTTATTTTTTGAATGGATTATGTTTTCAATTATTGAATACTCATTAGTTTCCATGACATAATATGACTGTTTCATTTCTTATTTCTTCAAAGTTATAGTGTAAAATGCATAATAGAGCCGAATTAAAAATTCTTTATTATTTTAAATATTTTCCTAGCTAATAAGTTTCTGCAAAGGTTGTATCAGGTGGAAGATTTAATCATAAGAAGTGAAATTCTAACTTGCAGCTTAATTGCTATGATATTTAAGGGTTAGACTGGGCTGTATCAGTTCAAACAGATGGAATTTACACACTCTAGGTTCAAAGGTTTCCATAGCTTTGGTTATTGATTACAGTTTTACAGCTTTGGTTACAGATTGAGAAAGAGCATTTTTTTTATTTAAAGCTACTCTAGTAAGTCTTAATGAAATGACTCGAGCCTTAATTCTAGATTATTGGTGTCAGACAGCATGCTGCAGCAGTAGAGTACTAAAAGTTTTTGTCTTCTGGACTATAATCAAAAAATTGCATCCAAATCTATAGAATTGAATGCTGTTAATCTTGATAAGCTACTGTCAGACAACCGTCAGGACACAACCATACAGAGGTGCCTCGTCAACAACAATCTACATTTTGGGTTAAATAATTAAGTCTAGGCATCAGAATTTCACTGCTTGAAATTATTTTCACAGAATTTTGAACTTACAGATTTTGGTATTCTTAAAAATAATTCAAAATTGAGAAAGAGCTTAAAATATCAATAATTCTCCAATTGCAAGCATCAAAGTCCAAAAAAAAATATTTTTAAAAAATTATTTTCACCCACCTGACCAAACCTTTCCTACTTAAACTAGTTTTTAACCGTAGAAAATTCTAAAATCAAAAGAGTTCCAAAACAGAAAAACAAAAATAAAATCATAAAATTTTTCATAACAAATACAAAAAAGAATCTCGTGGATTATAATTTATTTCCTTTTCACGGAAGTAGGGAAAACAAAATAGAATTAAATTTAAAATAATAACAGAATTTAAACTTTGGTGGGTTTTTAACGACGATGATCAGCTTTTCATTAAATGAGAGTTGCTACTATCTCGAACTGTCCATGATCCTCAACGTTTGTTGCTGTGACGTTCCATGATTTCCAAGTACGGCCTTTCCGTCACGTCCAATCACAAGTTTTAAACCTCCACGATCTGTAAATAATGAAATATTGAAGGTGACAGCTTAGAAAAAAAAATATTCTCGTAAAACTCACGTTCTGGGTCTTCTTCGAGCTGTTCGAGTTTATGTGTCGCAAACAATTCATCAATCGTCTTATCAGGATTGACTCTCGTGTTCTCCACACGTCCTGTAATAGTCGGTAAATCTTCATAAACTTTCTTTCGTCGTTCAGCTTGAGCTTTTGTGGCACGATCTAATGACCCTGTCTCACTAATCTGTATTGATCCAGAGCTTGGATTCCTGCTTTGTGAATTGAGAAAAATGAACAAAAATGGTTGGAAGAAAATTTAGTTTATGGCTTAGTAATCTAATAGCTAATCGAAGATAAAAACAACATAATTCAAAACAGCATGCAGTTAAAAAAAGGAAAAGATTAAACTAAAAGTAAGGAAATTAAGGTTTCATAACATAAACGGCCTGTTTCACTAAAGTGGATTATCCTCGATTTCGGATTATCCACTTCAGTTTTTTGGAAATATCTTAAACTTTATGGGAGGTGTGGTATTTCTAATTTTGGATTATAATAGAGTGAGCTATGCCTGAAATTTCTGTATACTTTAAACTTTTACTTTTCGTTAAGAACTATCAATTATTCAATTTCCTAGCCAAATCTAGTAGATTAACTTCAATTTTTGCTATAATTCTCAAACTAGTGAAGATATAAAAATTCTTAGTATATGTTGATTTAAGTAGCAAAGTACTCTTGCTAGATCACACATTAGATCTCTTAATAACCTTAAGCGTCTGGCGATATTTCCAAAAAACTGAAGTGGATAATCCGAAATCGAGGATAATCCACTTTAGTGAAACAGGCCGAAAAAGATTGAAATGTTAGAAATTTTAAGGAAGGAAATTAATTAACGTATTTTGGATTAAGGTGACCACCATTTTAATAAAATAGGGGACCCATTGTTTGGAATCTGTCAAAAAACTTAAAATGCTTTGTGAATTTCGTAACTTTGTGAAGTTTTCTGAGGACTCTTTCACTTAGGATTCGTTCACTAATTACGTAGATCTTAGGTTCATAAATGACGAGTATCAAAGAACACGATTTTCCACCTTCTTGTCACAAAATTTGTACGAAGAAAAAATTTCTTAAGTCTAAATCGTCACATAACATCCTCCCGCCTCCCCCTAAATGTTAGACATCATTTATGAACGACCCCATTAGACAATTAAAAACCAATATTCCTTCAAAGAAAGGCAAGGCGTGGAAACTATCCCAAATATCCCAAAAATATTCAAAATAATCCCCGAGCCTGTATGCATTAGAATTGTGATATCCCATCATATCCTGAAATTACACGTCCAATACACTAAGGATATGTTGGGATATCTTTATTATTGTGCATACATGCTCAGGAATTTTTTTGAATATTTTTAGGATATGTGAGATAAATATGATACTTGGATAGTTTCCACGCTTTGAAGAAAGGTTTGTACAAAAGTGGGAGGATGGAGTTATAAAAATCCATTTTTTGAGTTCCGTAATAAGTGAACGACCCCCAATTTTTTTGCAGCAATTTTCAGCAAAATGTAAATGACTTAAAATAATGAATGATTTTTATTTTGTTGAAATTCAGACACTTCACATTTTATGTACAAATTGCTTCAAAACGTGATGTTTGCTTGAAAAAAACACTATGAATAATACAAAATGTGATGAAAACAGATGCTGTTTTGCATTTGTATAAGAAGAGCAGACAATGTTTTATGGCAGACTTGGAAACTCGATGAAAACAAGTTTTGGAAATAATTCCAGCTTTTCTTTTCAAATTGAAAGTTTTTCTTTCATTTTCTCTAGAATGAGAAAAATTGCAGTTCCTGAGCTTATGCTCTAATTGAGTTTGTTGAGCTTGCAATGATGAGAAATAACCCGGACTGCCCCAAATGACAAAGTTTGTCTGCTTGACTTAGTTTCTAGAAGTTTCCAAGCGAAAAGTTTTGCTAAATGATTTCCCGCTAGAATTCTAGTTTGATATTGATAACTTTAATGTCTAAATGGCTTTTTGCTCTAAATTTTGATAACACATTAAACATTTAGCACGATTGCTTTTGGGGGTTAATTCACCGATGATGTACATTTGAATATTGAAATGAAGAATCTAAAGAACATCATTAGTGAATGATCCCCAAATTCTTTCGAAATATTCAAAATACGTTAATTATATACAAACATATACACACATAAATTAATGTCATATCCATACTTTTAGATAGTTTCAAAGTTTCAAGTACTGAATAAGAACAATTGCAGATTGAAATCTTCTCATATCATGTGCTAAAACCATGTTGCTTGTATTAGGCTCTAAAAACCAGATCAGTCAAGATTATTCAGGAATAGCAAATCAACAAAGACCAGAACTGTCCACAGAACTCTCCTGAATATGACTGACCTAAATACCTGAACAACATTTTCTCGCTCAACAAAACAAAAACAACAAATAACAAATAATGAATGCGATTCTATAAATTTCACACTTCTTCGTTCATGACTCTGATTTTTCTGGCTCGTCGCAAATCGCTTTTTTGAGTTAGAAACAAATGAAGAAAAATAAATTTTTCAACATAAATAAAGTCAGATGCAGTTAGAAAAGTACAAAAAAAATATCAAGCTTGAGGAAAAATTTGTGAATGTGTGGCTGTAGAACTAAGAACAATTTGTTCCACATTCTTGTGTGAGATTCACAAAAAAAAAAAAAACAATTTTGATGGAGTTCATCCTTTGAACTTTCAGGTCAAAAATGCTCTTCTACATAACCAGAATCGTCTCTAAGGATTGATATGTTCTTTATTGACGACTATAGTTACACAGAATTTGTGAAATCTCAGCCACAATTTAACAAAACAATCTCCTCAAGCCTGCCAAAAAAAATTCTTTCAACATCAAAAAAAGGAAGCAAAAAAGATTTGATCAACACGAACATATTTGAACTTGGCCTTCTTAGATGTAAGGATGATGTACCCGAGGGCATGGACGAAAGTATAATTGGGAAGTTATCGCCGTTTATGGAAGCACTTAAGCTCACATCTGTGGTAATATTTTGACTAGAATCATTTGGCGAATTTGTTGAATTTAACGTCGACATTCGTGGACTTCCATCAAGTAATCGACGATGTAGACTATTCCTATTTGGTCAATTGTTGTATGGGAATTTCGACAAAATTTTTCCGAGATTTTCAAGAGAAAGAAAAAAAGAGAGAAGAAAATGGAAAAATTTAAGATAAGATTCAAATGTTAAGCATTAAAAAAGAATTAAAATCCAACGAGGATAACGCAAGACTCGCAGTTATTATTATTGTCAAATACACAAAAAATTTCATCAATTTCAGTTCCATTCTTCACGCAAATTCGAGCGATTAATTCACTTAAATAAATTTCTCGGTTAGTCTATAAAGTTTTAGGTCAATAAGTTTTTAGTGCGACATGCATAATTTGTTTGCTGAGTGCAAAAAATCGAAAAAAAAAACATTATATCTATAAAATTACAACAACAATGATAAAGTTAATGCATAATAATTACAAAAATAAGCATACATAATGAAATGAATAAATGGGCGATTAGTAAGCATGATTGATAAGCATAATAATGAATCATTTATAAAATTTTTATTACCAATAATTCATGGCGAGATTATGAGAGTATTAATGGCTCGTTGAGTCTATATCGTGCTGTACTTTTTAGATGCATGAGTAAGTAATCGTTGGAATTGAAAAATATTTATGTTTTGTAATTATGGTTGAGATTTAGATGAAATTTGCTTAGATTTGAAGGATTAATAGATAAATTGAAGATTGAGATCTTTGATTTTGGGATATGCTCGACTTAAGACGACTTGCTCGTATCGAGGAACATTATTTAATCATAAATTCGGTAAGCAAGCAAGTACTTGCTTAGTACACGCTTGGGCTGGTCCTCCGTGCTATCTATTGATATTATATCCATCACTTCTTTTTAATTTTGGATCGAGACTTTATGATTTTTTAATTTAATGATAAATATCTAAGGAGGCTTTAAGCTTGTCTGAATTAAGAGGGTGGTAGGATGACTAGGCAGAAACTTAATAATTTAAATTATCTTGTTCTACGCTCTAAATCTTGAATTCTATGATTTTATTTGGAGAAACCACAAACTTAAGAGCATCACCACAAAAAATCACAAAAGTCATTACTTTAAAATTTTTATCAGAAATAAGCTATTGCATCATGAGTTGTATCAGCATTCCTAACGATATAGCACAGAACGACAAAAAAATGATAAATTTGTCATATAAATTTTAAAAATTCATAAGTCCGCTTATGCTTATCATTCATGACATAATGCTACGATGATGATGATATGTTATTAATGATGTAATCTTAAAATATACAGCCAAAATAGAGTACTTATTTACAAGATTATAAATTTATAATTTTTTTCTACATTTAAAATTTTGAAAATCAAGTGATATGCATGTGAGAGATATGCTGAAGACTTTTTAGCCACAACAAAGATTTTTCTTTCCTAGTTTATTTTTTACGTTATCAATTAATATTAAGCATTGCTGTTTTTAGTCATATTAAGTTTTTTTTTGTACATTGTGTGTGATAGATCCAAATCAACAACAGGGATATGGATCAAAGAATTCATACCTAAGTCGATCGTAAAGTGTTGATCCACGATTTTTCATGCTCTCAATACACGACGACGACTTTTCCTTTCGCAACGGAATCATTTGGTTAATTTGTGGCACTTTGAAGACTTCATCATTATCATTGGCATTTCCATTCGTCTCATCATATTTCTCTTCCAATTTTATTGGAACTATAAATCGGTTATCAAACTTCTTACTATGTCCATTCATTGTATTATTTTTAATTCGTCCATTCCAAAATGGATCGCATGATTTCATATTATTATTTACAATATCCGATATCGTGCCCATAGAATGTATTTTCATTAGATGATAATTATGTGTATTATTGGTGTCATTAAATGAATCAGCACCAACATATTTCGTATTGCCGACTCTCCTCTTAGGCGTTTGTAACGACAATCGATTTTTCTCATATGGCACATGTATCGGTGAGGAACTATTATCACTATGATGACGACGCGAAATAAATCCATCAATTTCGTCCGAATCGTTACCATTTAAATTATTCATTGAATGTATTTTAGCATCATTACATTGATTCATCTCGCAATCACGTTTAAGACGCATAAGATCAATTGGCGTATTGTCATGACTATCATTTAGCTGTGACAGCGATTTCATTCTATATAAAGTTAAGTCGTTTGTAAGCATCACATCATGTAAGTTATTCATACTCTTCATTTTCATTAAAGTCAAATCAGCTGTTGGCGTGCAAAAGACATCAAAACCAGAATCATCGTCACCATCTAATGTGCTATTTGGTGTTCTGTACATTTCATTTGTTGGTGACTCTGGCGATCTACAAATTGATAGCTGCTTACGATTTATATGAATTATTTGTAGCTTTAATGAGTGCGACTCACGACGTCTGTGAATCATTTTTTCACGGGCTTGAGATTCATACCAGCTCGATAATGATCCACTTTTTTGGAACGTTGCACGTGTGTATCTTTATGGATTTAATATAAATTTTTAATTTTCATGAAGATTGAGCGGGTTGTTGGAATTAATTGTATGTACATATCATTATAATAAAGTTTAATGTATGTACAGCATTCGATGATGGTTAAGGATTTTTCATCGTCATAATTTATACATGTTTTGTTCATAAATAATATGATATAATGTGCATTTATATTTTTTTGTAGATTTTTAAAGGAATAAATAAATATGTAATAAGAATAGATACAATGTGTTTATGTGCAGTGGACGCGAAAATAAAAAGAAAAGAAAAAAAAAATTAAATTAAATAAAATTATTTGAAATAAAGAGATTCTCAGATTAAAAGGTGAGTACGAAGTACAAAAAATACAAGATTTTTTCGATAATCAAAATGATGTGCTTGAATTGTGTTTCAGTCGTCATTCAATCGACTCCATTAAGCTTCACTAATTACTCGGTGTAATTGAGAAGTAATACGATTAAATTTGCTGTGAAAATAATGATTACCCGATTTATGTACGAACAATCATGATCGTTCAAAGCAGACTTGCAAATAACAATTGTTAGATTGTAATAAAAAGATACTTAAAACGTCTCAAAATGATTTATATATGCTAATACTTTTAGATGAATTGAATTTGAAATTGCAAAAGATTTTGTTTAAAGATAAACTCAGACTTATTTAGGTCTGAAAAAAGATTATCAAATGATTTTTATAGGTTTGAAAATAAAACATCATAGACTAAATTGATTTTGAAGACTGAAATTGTTCTTATGAACAATTCTTATGTTCTTATGGAAACAAAACTCGACCAACAATTAAAGAATTATATCTACTCATCACAGACGCAACCCTACATTTCTATAGACGCAATCCCACGTAACCATAAGTCGACGAATGGAAGATTTTATGTATTACATCAAAATCTTCCATGTATGTTCCATATGTACATTCCATGTATCGTACATTGGACATTATGCTAATATGAAAACGGACGATTTTTAGTCGATTTTACGTCGATTTCACGTCGATTATTTTTTTGACCCAAAATCAAATTTTTTTTGACCGTTACAATATAAAAACCGATTAACGGAAAATTTTTGAATTTTTTTGTATGAAAATATTTTTTGTTAATTATACTATAATTTGTAGACAAAATCCAAAAACATTAATTAAGGATTTTGTCTTTGAAAAAAAGAGTCGAAGTCTTCATTTAAATGAATGATTCGCATGTAATTAATTTAATTAATTAATCACACTTTGTATGAAAATTTGGCTGTGCCTTATATAAGTGATTTCTGATTGCACTTGTGAAGTATATAGCGGCTCAAGAAAAACGAATGTAATGGATGAAAAATCGACGTCTATTGAATCATCCAAAAAATTGTACATTTAAGTCAATTTTTTCATTGACGGCGATTTTGGTTACGTGGGATATCATGCAGAATCAAGCTCTCATAATAGAAACATTCTCAACAAAAGAATAGAATCCGCTTTCAAGAGAATAATGAATTGAAATTTGCATCTACATCTTGCTCTAATTATTCTTCCTTTGTATTATTCAACTATCTCTTGAGCTCAAGTTTGAAAAAATATCTTTTTTGAGATGGATTTTCCATAATTCAAAACTCCTTATCATCATTGACCTAATTTTTGTTTTTAAAGAATACAAAACTCTGTTTTAAGATAACAGCAGTGGATAATAAATTTAAAACCCGAAATCATCATGCTTAATTGATAGATGCTGTGAAATTTGATTCAATCGATAATTTGTGAGCAGTGATAATATTCATCGAACTTAATTTCAATATGCTGTAGTCGAATTTCATATCAAAACACTCAAATTTCGCGGTATCATCAAATGCTCATCACATCAATAACTCATTAATATTCCATAAATTTTAATAAGGCAATTAAAATTAATTACGAGGAATCTAAAATGAAATAAATCACAAAGTACAAAGATTCAAAATGTCAATGCATTCAACTCAATTAATTGAAATAAATAAATTAGTCTCGGATCAAATGATTGCGTAGGAAAAGGTTCACGAATGCTACATAAATTAGATGCGAATAATGTAAGTGAAAATTAATTCTAATCAATTGAATCACGGCACTTGAAAGTGATCTGAAGCTCATGACTGTGCCTCATTATTTCTCATTTTATTCATAATTAACGGATTCGCAATTCTAAGCGGATTATAGCTTCCGCTATAATAAGGTAACGATTTCATTGACTATTAGTTGAGTATTTGATGTTAATCTTGTTCTATTCGGGAGTTTTTTAATACAAATTGCTAGCTTGATTTTTTATAGCTCTTAAATCCACAGTTAATCCTATTTGATCTGTGCTGTGTGCTTGGTCGTTATGCTCAAGTCATGTCATTTAGAACAGGAAGGAATAAAATATTATCTGCACATCAGTTCGAGCTTTTGTTTATTTTGCAAGTCATTGAAAATATCGATGAACTTTTATTGCTGACAAATAGTGAATGATGACAGTTTGTTGACTCATTGTTGGATTATTTGTCCTGAAAGTAATGATATTTTCCACATCCTTGTATCAGTATAGAATGAATTGGGTCAGAGCACGATTGACAAATTTAGTTGCTTGATCTTGCATGACCTAGGGTAGTTTTTGTCATACTCTGTATAACAAACGCTGTATGCAGCACTCTTATTTACCGTGACACATCTTTCAAAGTTAGTCAGTTCAAAGAACTCCTGAAGAACTTCCCATTGAATAAAAATGTTCGCTCCTAATGTCAACATGCCACGCTACTTATTAAGATTGATTGAAATGTATATTGCATGAAATTCCTTTGTTTGCCGATCAACTAATCGGAAATTCCACAAGTTTGTAGACGAAAGAATCCCAAGATCAACAAGTAAATGAACTAATACAATTTTATAGAAATGCTTTGGAAAGTCCCAAAAATTCAATTTATTATGAAATTTAGTAAGCACAGTTACTGCTTCAGAACATCAAAGTCAGAAAATCAATTGAAAGGTTTTTGAATAAATTTCAGTGACAATGCAAATATTCAAAAGCTCTAAATACAATGTTATAATCTACTTTTATCTCAGTCTAAAGAGAATAAGGTTTTCAGAATAATAGTAATGAGATTACAAATCATTCATCTTAAAAATACAATCTAATACTTTGCTAAATTGTTCTTAAGCAGTTGCTACTCAAACTATGATCTGCGGTACACTGGTGTATGCTTGATAAGTTGTTAAGTGTTTTGAGCATGATATAGTTTGAGAAGGACTGCTTTAGAGGGTCTTTCATAAATTATGCAACGCTAAATTTGGATTCTTCAGTAGAGTCGAAGTCAAACCTCCGTTTAGCTTTACGTAACTTATCAACAGCCCCTATTAAGCTCAAATAAGTTGAGAATCTATTTGATTGAGATCTAAATCATAATACAATTTAAGCACATCATTTCGTCAAGCTTATGATAATAATCTAAGGGCAATAAACTCATTAGACTATAAAGAAAATTAATTTTTTGAAATCATCAATGAATACAGGTTTTTAGTAAAAATTCTTGCAAAAAAGCATTTTCCAATATTAAAGTATAATAAATTTTGTTTTTGATTAATTTGAAATGAAATAAAAAGATTTTTTAGTAAACAGAATTTTGGCATGCAATAAAGTTGCAAAAATAAATAAACCGCATACTTAAGCGCTCGATTATAAATAGATGCGATGCATGTATGCAATTAAAGCGCACGAGTAGATAAAATAGTTATTAATTTCATTTTTTTGTTGTTTTATTTTTTTTTCTTGATGGAACGGAAATTATTGTGTTGCTTTTTTACTTTCATATCAAATATGTCTTTTAAATATACTTAAAATAAGTAAGTAATTTTGAAAAGTAAAGTACGAAAGAAGGAAGTAGAAAGACAAGAATTTTGTATTAAAAAGAATAGATAAAAGTTTCTTCAAGATAGGTAGGTAGGTACACAGTACGTTAGTATCACGTTTAAAACACGGTTACAGTGAATTATTCTAAGACGATAATTATATTCATTGGACGCCAATTAATATCAGTTTTTGTATACTTTTAAGGATTAATTATTGTACAACAACAAGAACAGACAGTAATTATTGTTATAAATTAAACAATTAGTTCTTCTCTCACCTCGTATGACCTGAATCGCCATCAGAACTTTGTCGTGAGTGCTGTCGCTCTGATATACTGCTACTGTAGCCAGAACCTTTGGACATCTGAAATTAATTGACGTAAATTATGGATTAGTAATTATTTTTTCTAGATTTTCGAATGTCGTGACAATTTTTTTGTGGTTGTGGCTTAGACACATTAAAATACATGGACGCCATTTATGAGTGTTTTGGTCAGGAAATGGTTAATTCGTTAACATTAAATCTAAGGTCAACTAATTGGTGGTTATGATATGTCAAGATCAAAAGATTTGTGAAATTTAAGCAGCTGTCAAATGCTTCTAAATACCAAGTAGAATTGTTTTGTGGACTAGACTTTTATGCTAATTTTATTTAGAGCAGCAAAAATTTACTTAAACTTTCACATTCCAGAATGAATTGATAGATTTTATATTGGCACAGCTGGATGGTCTATAAAGTTTCTAATCAAATGTTCCAAAATTGACAAGCATGTTTTTTCTTGGAATTGAAAGCAACATTTGACTGATGTAGAAACTTAGTAGTTTAATGGCTCATAGCTGAAGTATGTTAAGAACAGTTTGACCAATTCTTACTTCCTAGAGCCAGCAAATAAGTGTCCATATGGATAACCTACTAATAAATTAAACCTCCAATTTAAAATAATTCATTATATTCTGCTTCCAGAACCAGAAGCTGTCAATATAATTCAAAGTAATCAAGTAATTAATTATCCATTCTGGCAAACAAAAAATAATGTAGGCTATTCAGTCTCCAATTAATTAGACAAATCGAACTACTCAGTATCAATATTAATTCATGTCAAGACGTCTATATAAAAAAAAAACTGTGTAGCTCTTGACCTAGCCAAATATGAATCTATTGAGTATGAATTATTGATTTGCTGCGCTAGTTTCTCTGGCAATCAAAATATTCAGCATCAACCCATATCCATTTGCTACCTTTTCAAAAATATAAATCTTAATTGCTTTACATCTCTTTACAGAGCGACACGTGAATGTCATTTATAATAACAAATTACTTACTTGACTAGTATTACTGGAATTTCTCGAGTGACCCATCTCACCAATATTTTGTTGCTGCTGTTGAAGTTGATTTTGTTGTTGCTGTTGTTGTGTTTGAGCATTTGTATTTGTATTATTATTAACAGTTCCTATAATGGATGAGCGATCGAAAATTGTTGATATTTGTGGTGTCTCTGACACGTCAGATATTCCTGAGTCAGTTATTATTGATGAGACGATTGACTGAGGATCAATATCTATGGATGGTTGGTAATCTAATAGCAAAAAAAAATCATATTAACATAAAATATACACTTGAGAATCTCAATCTTTCATACCTGATGTCACTTGTGTTTTATTCTTCTTCGTCAATGAACCACAACCTGATGATCCTGAAGCAATTGAGGAATCATCTTTTGAGTTTGCTGTCTGTCTTGTTGATATTGTCGGATTTGTAGATGATGTGCCGAGAGTTGATGACGGCGGTTGTGATGGTGTAGCTGTTCTCATCTCTAAATCATCGTCTGATGGCAACTGGCTTACTTTTGAGGAAGGACTGTTAAGAGGATTTATAAGAAGAAAAAGAAAATGATAAATTACGGTTTTGCGGCATTTGAGATTTATGTGAAACTTACACTTTAAATAAAATATCACCACTTATCATGTGCATTTTAATAGTCACTAAGAGCATTGAATTATCTTGTCGACATCTAGTATCATAACCTTCCAAAATTGTCTTCTTTGATTTCAATCCTTGTCCTGCATACTCAGCAAGATTAAGATCAACAAATCCTAATTTTTGATAACTACGTCCACCTTTTATCTCTTTACGTATTGAAATTCTCAATAAACATGGATCGAGTACACCTGTTGATGCATTTGCTGACATCTTACATGGAAATCGAAAGTGCTGTCCCCATTTTACTGTGTGAGCTTTTACTTCCTCTCTGTAAAATGAAAAGTGGAATTTTATCTTGTTAAAAAAATATTTATTAATTGATTAGAATTCATCGGAGGAATTTTGAAACTTGTCTGATATAATTGAAAGTAGTATGATTGAATAATAGCTATTAGGAAATACCCTCAAGAACCAAATGATTTTAATGAGTTTAGATTGACAATAACTAACCCAGGATTCAATCTTAAAAGGAGTCCTGAGGTTTAAAAACTCAGTTGTGCACCACAAAAAACTTATAAACCAGTTTTTGCGAATCTTCAATGATGAATCTCGCACACAACACAAAGAAGTGACCCATGATATATAAATATTTTATCCGGTCATTAAACGACCTTGAAAAACTGCTGTTTACCACTGAATGTGTTTACTAAGCGTATAAATAAGAATTTCTATAAAATAGAAATCACGATCATTCTCACAAAAATGTAACGAATTTCAAAGAAAAAGTATCAGAATTCAGTAAAGATCTCATATTTTACTCCACACCCAATTTACTCTAATCTCTTTTACATCTTATCTTAAGCTCACATTGTCATAAAAAATCTCAAAACAGTACATTAATAGTGGATATAATAAATGACACAATTAAGGTCACAAGATGCTTAAATAAATAAATGACATCATCAAGCAATGCGGCAAAGTAAAACGACATGAGATTAATAGATGAAGAAGAAAAAGTTCGTTAATTCCGATGACCTTGAAAGATCGCATATTATTGCCATATCGTGTTATTGTGGTGAGTTTAAAAGAAAATAAATGTAAATACATTGACAATGAAAAGTAGTCACGGATTGTAAGCAGATAGGAAAAAAACGTTAAAAAAGAATGTTTTGTGCCTGAACAAAATATGAATGGAATTTTTTAATACTTTATTTGTTTCATTCTTCCCCATCCGTCTGAGTCTGATTTACATTTCAACGGCCTTTTTGTAACCGCAAATTGAGAGCAAACAAATCAATCAAGTAATTCTTTTTGATTGAAATTAACCGCATAATGTGAACAAAATAATTCTCGGCATAATTTGCATTTGTTGTTACACAATTTTTAATCATGACCAAAATTATTTTTCAGCACTAATTTTATAAACGAGAATAATTTATGTCTTCCTGGATATAACGTACAAATTTGTTATTTTGAGCGCCGGGGTCAATTTTGCATAGATGAGAGAAATATGAATTGAAAGAGTGGAGTGAAATTAAATTATCGTTATTTGTAAAAAATTGTTACAGACAGAACTACCGGTCGACAGGTGTGCATTTATAATTTTTTTTGAATGAGGTTTTACAATTCTTCATCTTAATGTAGACTCTCAAATCAAAGCAACATAGGAGGGCAAAGTCAAACCAGTCTAGGGTTATTTCAGCCAGCAATAGAGCTAGCTATATGTGATAACTGAGAGAGACCATAGATTTTTTAATAAATCCATCTAAATTCACCTCTGTCAGCCGTACTAAGTAATATAAATCACATCATTTTTCTTTCTCAACTCCTATGTGGAAACAGAAAATTCAAATTTGCTTTAAAACATGATCGATTACTGAACAATTTGTTACAGTTTTATGTACTTTATGTTTCCTTTAGAGAATTGCTGGATTTGTTTGAAGAATTAGCTAAAATTTAAATTTTTCGAGGATTTTTCTTTCGAAGTTCACTTAATGCTTCTAATTCATCAAAAACTGGCAAATTTTACTCCAAGGATTGAAGATTAAATTCCTCATTACTTGCGCAAATAATGAAAGAGAAACAGAGAACATTTATTTCTAGGTCGTAGTTTGTGAAAAATGAGGTAAATGAATAAATGATTGATTAACGATATTTAAGTTTTAATGAATTTTTAATTCATACACATTTATATTGCCTCAAGTATCTTAATATATTATGAAGATTCTACGAACTGTCTGAAGCTCTTCAATTAGTTTATGGCTTTGAGATAAGAAATGGGACTTTTTTAATTAGTATGAAAGTCATAAAAATAAATCTTCGTCCCACGGCTGTAATTAATTTTAAGGTATAATTTTGGATGAAAAAATAAATTTTTAGCACTTTTTGCTGACTAGAAAATTGAAAAACTTTTACTGATTATGGCAAAAGGGGGCGCATGGCAACGTCCCTGCCTATTGTTATTTACCATAACATAAAATTATAAAAATTACTCGATGTAATGGGCTTGCGATCATTTTAATTATTGTGAGTCACAACAAAATGTATTCAAGTTTACTCGAAATATATGCTGAGCTAACGTAAATTATGATTAATTACATTCATACAAAAAATAATCTTATCCTACCCATGCGACACAACAAAACAAGTTTAAAATCACCGAAAAAAATTCATAGTCACAAAAGTTTTTGAATAGATGTCGAAAAAAATTATTTCAAAACGTGACTCGAATGCGCAGACAAGAATAGACTAGGTGCAATTAAATAGCTAACATTTGAACTTGTCACGACAAAACTTAAATTACAGCACTTTATAATTATTCTCGAAATAAATATTATTTTTGAAACTAAATTCAAGTTTTTTTTTGTGTGTGATTTTCAAGCCACTGACATTTCTACATACAACAAATAATTTCCATTTATACACAAAAAAATGTCAAGCTCATGAAATTGATCTTAAACGGTTCATAATTTCCTTTTGTTATCGTGAAAACAAGTAGCTAAACAATATCGTCTGAAATAGTCTACATATTTTCTCATTTTTCATTTCTCGGTCAACATATAAATGAATAAAAAAATGAATTTCAAATTGAAGCGAATAAAAGTCGTTTTTAGTCATGCACGTGAAACTTATTTTGAAGGTCAACAATATAAATTTTTCATGTGAAAAACTTTCTGTGGTGAAATTAATTATTCGTTGTAAAGAAATGACTATAAACATGTTCGGAAGACGATTAACTAGATTTTGCATTCGAGCAGAAAATTAATAAATTGACAATTCAGAGGAAATGAATGAGTATTGTGGAAGGAGTAGCGGTTTTTTGGGTTGAGAAGATTAAATGTAAAGGAACTTATTGAATGCGGCTTATTGCTTTTGTGGTCATATTGAATGGAATTTATTGATATTAATGAAGATTAGTTTCCTCATAATTTTTTCGGTCGCAAATTTGTTTCAAGCGTGTTATTCGCAACAGAAGTTCATGTAGTGTTAGCAATAACATTTGAATTCCATTGAATTATTCATTTATTTAGGTCTACACAATGTTTGTTTTTTGAACATCTGTTCTGTACATGAAAGAATTGACGCTAAAATTTTGAAACCATTTCCTTATTAAGAAACTTTTTTTTCTGGGTTGCAACAGATTGAGAATTATTTTAATATTTTACATGCTGTTGATAAAGATTTTTATGTTCACAAAAGACTTGAGAGTGGAATATAAACTTTTATGTGGCTTTGCTAATTATGTTTGTCAATTAAGGATGTAGGCTGGTCAATGAAGTAGCAAAAACATTCATTCGATGCACTAAATGCACCTTAGGTTTTAGAGAACTGTCTATATCTTTTAAAATTATAGCATTTTTGCAGGTTTTTGATAGACAGCAATCAGCTTCATCTGGTATAAAATAAAGTAAATAAGACCCTCTCAAAATCATGCAATTTCGGGTTACTCAAAGTGTTCACACCAAGCACTCAATAATCCACAAAAATCCTCCATTCAAAAAGCTCATGCTTGGCATATTTTTCCCACAATTTCATGCATCATCCATTAAATTGAATAATCCACATCAAAGTAAATGATTTCGTTCAAGTAGAAGTATCAGATTTCATGGAAAAACAAAAGAAGAAAAAGAAGCGACAAGTAAAAATCATTCACGAAGCATTTAAATCCATAAAGCTAGTAGAAGATTAAGTGCACTTTTCATAATGAACGTCACACTTTATGAACCTTACTTTCATTTTCTTTTTCACGTAATTCTATCATGCCAATATTAATATCAATTACAAACTCAATTTCATACTTCTTATTGCATTTCGTGATACTCGAGACTTGAGTATAATCCTCACTAAAGAAAAATACTTTTAAAAAATTCAAAGAAATAAAAAAAGCGAAAATATGCTGTACAAAAAAAAGAAGAAGAACAAGCATAAAAGTGAAAGCAATCAGTTGATACATCAAATTGCACACAGACATACGAGTATTGATTATTTATATGATACATTAGTTATAGCATGAAAGTGATATTATTGAATTATGATATCAACAGTTTGCTTATAAAAAGAATCAGAAGAAGAACAGAAAAAGTTTGAGAATCGCTGGAATTTCTTTCATGCTTCTAACGGTGCTACGCGACATTTTCTTGGAAATATTAGAAACCACATGCATACAGCTGTTCCAAATTGAGTGAATAAAAATCACTTATTGACTTATTTATAAATTTTTGCATCATTATAAGGAGATTTAAACTTCCTGTGCAAGTGATGCTGACCACTTTTTCTTTTATTTCAATCAATTCACACACAATTTATGGAAAGACAGTTGAAAAATGTATCTGCATTGCATCATCGTTTGTGCCATACTTTGTTAAAAAAAAAAACTCGACTAGTTGTTGCGTGATTTACTTGAATGTCCGCTGTAATATATCAATGTCTATTTTGTACAAAATGTCTTTTTTTCTATGCTGAGAGACGAAAATTGAAATGGGATTTTTTTTTCTTCTTTCGTGGGATTTTTTGCAGGCTTTTGAGAGTTGAAGAGGCTCTTTGTGTTTGAGCAAAATTTATGGCAATTTATTTAAAAACCTTTATTGGTTGTTTGTAATTCTTGTGGGGATTAAACACGAATTATTTTTAGAATCGTGCCTGAATTATGATGAATTTAATTTAATACCGTCTAGCGAATATATCCGGCATAAATTTGAGCATAAAATCTGATAATCAGTCAATGATATTAATTTTATATTTAGATTATAATCCAATTAAGAATAATGAGAGCTGTTCTAGATTTAGTTCATATTATGTGAATTAAATAATAAAATTTAAAGCATTTTT